ACTGGGGATCGAGCCTGCAACCCAGGCCTGTGCCCTGACCGGGAATCGAACCCTGGCCTCCAGGTTCCTAGGTCGGCGCTCAGCCCTGAGCCACGAGGCCAAGCCCAAGAAGAGCTCGGACTTAGCCAGAGCCTCCTGGAATGGGGTTCTCGCAGCCGCTCCTCCCGGGGGCTTGGGCTGCGGGCTCAGGGGTGGGACCGACACCTGGGGAACCGTTTCTCAAAGCACCTCTGCCTCCCAGGCCCTCGGGCATCACAGTGCGAGAGACGGCGGCCTTTCCGTGTGCCAGGCCGAGAGGCCTCTCCACAGGCCGCACCGGCGGTGACCTGGGGGGGCTGCGGGCGGCAGTGGCCGCAGAGCCCTGCCCACAGCGGCGTCAGCCGGACTGGCCTGGCGTTTCCCTGTGGGCTCCCTGATGCTGGTGTGTGTGTGGGGGGGTGCAGAACGGGTGTGAGCGGGTCACCCGCCCCTCTCCCCCGGGATAGGCGCAGAAGTAACCTCCAAACTTAACAGCCAAGCGCAGCCCGCACGGGGCCTCCTCACCCCCCGTGGGCTCCGTGTGCGGTTGGGAATCCGTGTGGAAAGTGCTGGCTGTGTCCCCGGGGAGGCGGCCGCAGGGAAGCTGGCGCTGCCGCCTCCCCCCGCGCCCCGAACCCGAAGGAAGGAGGCGGCTGGGAGCCCCGGAAAGTCACTTTTGGGGGCTCATCATCCCTCTGAGCTCGTTGCCTCTGAACGGGCGGCTCACCAAAGCCGGCTCCCTTCCCGGGCGGGTTCACGCGGCATTGCCGCCCGGAGCCGGCACCTGGGCGGCGGGGAGGGCGCCCGGACAGTGATGGACAATGGCTCCCGCTGGGGCCTTTGTCCGGACACTTGTTAGCGGTAATTAGAGGCCCGGCCGCGTCCATAGAGAAACACGCTTCCCGTGTGACGTGTGATCCCCATCGCCGTGCTCTCCTCAAAGGCAGCAGTTACACCATACGCCGCCGCCGGCGCGAGGACACGGAGTGGGAAGTGAATAAAAAGCCCTCTCTGCCCGCCCGCCTCTGCCCTTCGGGCGCTGAAATCCTAGTGAGCGGACGGAAATAACCTCCTTAACCTCCTGGACGAGGCCCCGCCGATGTCCCAGGGACAGCGCGTCCGGCACTCAGATAAAGGCCTTTCTTCCGCCCTCCCGCCGGCGCACCTGTCCGAGCTCAGCTCCCGGCTCCCGGCTCCAGGTGGACTTGCTGTTCTCTCGCCCTGAATGGACCGGTTTGTGTTCTCCAAACACAGCGGGCGCACGCCAGCCCGCTTCGGGGAAATAAGCCGTTGGCCTATCTCTGACGCCCCTTTCGCGTCTCGTCCAGGCTTCCTGCTCGCCTGCCAGGGAACTCCTCAGGGGCAGACACGGCCAGGAAAGAGCCCCGGCGCCTGGAACCCCACTGAGCCGCTGGAGAAGTGGGCTCTGGAAAAGACTCTGGGGTGTGTGTGTGTGTTTGTGTGTGTGCATGTGTCTGTATGTGTGTGCATGTGCTAGGTGCATGCATGTGTGTCTGCATATGTGGCATCTGCCTGTGTGTATATGCTTGCGTGTGTCTGTATGTGTGTCCTCCAGGCAGATGCTCTGTGTCTCCCCGCCCCCCGGACAGAAAGTCCTTCTGGGAAGATGTCCTTGCCTCATGGGCTCGGTGACTTCAATTTTCCTCCCGGAGCGGGAGCGCCCGGCGGGCCGGGCAGAGGCGTGGAAACGCCCCCTCCTCTTGGCACCCCGCTCGGCCGCGGCGTCTGCGGGGACGACAGCGGGGCCCCGTTCCCGAGATTGGACACGCACGGCGGCGGCGGCGGCGGCGCCATTCTCCCGGAATCGATTGACCCGAATGTCATGCAGATCCTCCTGGAGCGGAGCCACCGGCCGCCTCGGCACCTCCGCTCCCCACGCAGACCCCCCCCTCTCCCCCCCGCAGGCGCTCGCCCTTGGCGGCAGGCGCTGCTCTGGCACGGACGTGGCTCCGGAAGTTTCCTCACTGGGCGCTTGGGCCTGCACGTGGGCTGGTCTGATCGGAGGAGACGACAGGGCAGGGAGCCGGCGTTAACAGCTCGCCGATCGCAGGGCTGGTTCTGGATCGACTGGGACCAGACGGCGGAGGAGAGGGAGAGGCCGTGGAGGCGCCTGCTTCCCTCTGAGACCGCCTCTTCCCGGCCCTCGCTGTGATGTCATGGGCACCGTGCGCCCAGCCTGGATGGCCCGGGGGGTGGGGCAGGCAGGGACAGCCTGGCCCAGGGACTGGGTGGAGCTGACGGGGTGTGGAACGAGCCTGGACCCCCTCTGTCCAGGCTCACCCCCTGCAGATCCGCCGAGTGTGTGAGTCTGTACACCCCCCGCCCCCTCCCCCAATTCTCCAAAACGCGCCTCAGTGTCCCCAGCCACTCCAGCCGCCCCCGGGACCACAGGCAGCGAGGAGAGGAAGGAAGCCATGAGGAAAGGGCTTGTATGTTGAAGCTCCGGCAGGACGGCCAGCCTGGCTCCACTGCCTTCGGCCCGGCCTCCGCTCTCAGGGCTGCCCCCGGCCCGGCCTCCGCTCTCAGGGCTGCCCCCGGCCTCCGCTCTCAGGGCTGGCGTGGGCGGCGGGCAGTCTGTCGGGGCGAATGTGGGGGTTTAGAGCACGAAAGCTCGTCACTCACGGTTCTGGAGGCTGGGAAGTCCAAGGTCACGGGCCGCGGCTGCTCCCCATGCCAGCTGCTCCCTGGGGGCCGGGCCCCGTTCGAACCCGCACCGCCCACGCACCCCCTGGCCCGCCCAGGACAGCCCTCCCTCCACTCCGCACGTGTACGGGGCACAGTCAGTCCGTCTGCAGCAGGTGGGAAAGCTTCTCTTACCCAGACCAGCTGATCCCACAAGGCTATTCGGCTCTAGGCCCCTCCCTTTCGGAGCCCCTGCCTCCCTCCTTCAGAGAGAAGCAGCGCCTCCTGGTTCAGAGCCTCCCGCTCACCTGACTCAGCCCCCCGCCCTGATGTGCTGGGCCTGGGGATGGACCAGCCTTCCAATCCCCTTCTCCTCCTCCTCCTCTTTCCTCTTCTCCCCCTCCCCCTCCTCCCCCTCCTCCCCCCATCAGGGCGGGCTCCCTGGGCCTGGCTCTCCTCGCTCCTCTCACCGGTGGGCATCGCCGGGCACTGCCAGGGCTCGGGCCCCGAGGTGGCCTCCTGCCGCCCGTGGTTCCCTGCCACCCGCACCTGCAGGCCGGGCTGACAGGCCTTGGCTCCAGGCCCCAGCCCTCCTTCCCTCGGGGAACAGTGCCGCCTCCTTTCCTGGGGCCTGAGCTGGTTTCGGGGCGCAGCTCCCGCCCACTGGGCTGAGCCTGCCCCCAGCCTTCTCTCTGCCAGAACGGAGCCTCCATCGCACCTGCAGCTTCCATTGTATTTTCTGCTCTTGAACGCTTTGAATGCAATTATTTCTTAAAGCCCTGTGGGTCACAGAGTCACGGGAGATGGTCGTGGAAATAGAAAACACAAAAGGAGAGTTAGGAGACGAGAAAAGCTGGGGAGAACCAGGAAAGGAAGACCTTCCGAGAGGGCCGTTCAGAACGTTAAAATCCATAATAACCAGCACTCGCCGGACGCAGCATTCTCATCCATGAAAATTTAATTACCGCAGAACAATGGGATCCATACGAAACGCTCATCACCCCGCACGCGAGGGGACGTCCCCGCCAGCTCAGCCTCTTTATGAAAGATGTAATTACTCCCCGAAACAGTGCGGGCCTCGGGGGCGGGGGCCTCGGGGGCTGCGGGCCTCGGGGGCCTCGGGGGCCTCGGGGGCGGGGGCTGCGGGCCTCGGGGGCGGGGGCTGAGGGCCGAGGGTCCGGGTGCTCCGTCCAGGGGCAGTTGCCATGGGTCTTAGGCAGGAAACCCACAGCCCAGGCGGAAGCTGGGCAGAGGGAGGCCCCACGTGTGAGGAGTGAAGGGCAGGGGCACCTGCGTGGGGGGAGCCACAGGCAGCCTCACAGCCCGCCACCAGCCCCAGAGCCGCCTCGCCGGGGACAGAAAAACGGATGGACGGACGGGGCGTCTCCCAGAGCCCGCCTCCCGCACGCCTGCCCCGGGACACGCATGCACCCTTTCTGGCGGGTCCGTGGTGAGCCGCGCTCGGCTCCGAGCAAGGTCGCCCTCCGCCGCTGCTGAAAGCAACGGGCTCCGACACCGCGGTGCTCTGGAGGCCGGGGGGAGGGCCCGGGGGAGGGGGAGGCCCTAGGGGAAGGGGCTTGGGGGGAGGGCCCGGGGGGAGGGCCCAGGGGAAGGGGCTTGGGGGGAGGGCCCGGGAGGAGGGCCCAGGGTGGTAGGTCCTGGGTGGAGGACTCCAGGTGGAGGTACAGCCCTCCTCCGTCACAGGAAGTGACGTCATGGACGTGGCTCCTGGGGGCAGGCACCTCCCTCCTGGGAACCACGGGGCCAGGGTGGAGCAGGAGCACCTCCCGTCTGAGGAGGAACCTGCCGGCGACGGTGGGGGCGGTGACGGGCGGTGACAGACGGTGGCAGACGGCACTGACGGCACTGACAGCCAGCCCACGCTGGAGCTCCGCACCGAGACGCACAGCCATGTCCGATTCGCTTTATTTTGTTAAAACGTTTTCTTGGTGTTTGTGACTCAGGGTCTCACAACGAGAAGGTGTCCAGGCCCCACAGAAAACGTCTGCCATTTCTGCGCGTTTAGCAGCTGAGGACGGCTCAGCCCTGGAGACGTCCATGTCTCGCCGACATGGCTGACGGTGCCCCGGGGGGACTGGGACAGAAGTGCGGGGTGCCCAGCGTCCAGATGTGGGGAGAGCCTCTGGACCGGCAGCCGGAGCCGCCTCGGGACGGTCCCGAGAGGAGAGGGGGCGTTTCTTCCCAGACTGAATGGCTCCTGTGCCCGCGGCAGAGCTGGGGGGCAGCACAGAGAAGTCGGCCAAGACCCACAACCACAGCTCCAGGTGCCGGTGCCGGGCAGCTCCCGAAGGCAGAGCCCGGGTGCCCGCGGCGGCCGCTCAGTACTGCGCGTCCAGGTGCTTCCCGATGGTGTTGAGCTGGATGTTGGACGCGCCCTCGTAGATGGTACCTTAAACACGGGGCGGGTGAGGCTCAGCGGGTGAGGGCTCAGCTCAGACTAAGTCCCTGCGTTAGGCCTGCCCCTGTGCGCCGTGCTCAGGCCCCTCGGCCCTCAGCACGCCGCCGAGGGGGCGCGGTGCCTGCGGGACGATGGCTCCCGCCCGGGAGTGAGGCTCCGAGCCCAGAACCACATTGCACGGCGGCTCTGCCCTCCGCCTGGGTCGGAGCCTCTGCCCTCCGCCTGGGACGGAGCCTGGGACGCAGCCTGGGGCGCTCAGGCTCATGGGCACTAACCAGGCCCAGAACACTAGCCTTTTAGTAAAAGGAAAGTTAAGGCAGATTTTAAAAATCCTCACCCAGGGTACGTTCTATCATTGACCTTCAGGGAGAGGAAGGGGCACAGCTGGGTCGTCTGCCATACGTGCCCCCCAGGACCCGACCTGCCTGGGCTGTGCCCTGCCCGGGAGCTGGACCCAGCATTTGGTGAGGGCGGAGGCTCCCACCGCCGAGCGCCGGCCGGCAGAGCTGGCTGTGGTGTGACTCAGGCAGCCTGGTGCCTTTAACAGAACGTGTGAGCCCAGGCTCTGGAGGAAGTGGTGGGAGAGCCCCCTCCCCCGCCCCGGGCAGCCGCACACCAGGAGGCAGCGGCGAGCCACGACCGCCCTTACCGATCTTGGCGTCTCGGAAGTACTTCTCCACGGGGAAGCTCCTGGTGTAGCCCACGCCGCCCATCCAGTCGATGCATTTGCTGGTTGTCAGCCCCGCGACCTGCCACACACAGCGGGGTGCCCTGTGAGACCCCCTCCCACTCCCGTGCCATGTGGGTGGCGGGTGGCATCGCCACGGGGTCAGGGAGGCGGAGTCAGGAGCTAATGGGGAACGAAGGTTCAAGGACCGTGTGAGGCCGAGGAAGGAGGACAGACCGCCGAGGCTGGGAGAGCAGCCCCGGGGCTTGGCCGGGTTCTCAGTCCACGTCTGTGTGACACGGACCACGTCTGTGTGAACACGGACCATGTCTGTGTGACACGGACCATGTCTGTGTGACACGGTACACGTCTGTGTGACATGGTACACGTCTGTGTGACACGGACCACGTCTGTGTGAACATGGACCACGTCTGTACAGCACAGACCACGTCTGTGTGACACGGACCACGTCTGTGTGACACGGACCATGTCTGTGTGACACGGTACACGTCTGTGTGACATGGTACACGGCTGTGTGACACGGACCACGTCTGTGTGAACATGGACCACGTCTGTACAGCACAGACCACGTCTGTGTGAACACGGCGCAAACCTGGGCAGCCCTTCCAGGTGTTTCCATTTCCCCTCGTCTCCGTGGCATTCGCTCCCCCGGCGTGGAGCCACGGGGGCGACGCCAGCACTCGATGAGGCCGATTTGGGGTTTGCGGGGCCTCCACCTGAATGGGGGCCTTGGCTTCCACGTGGGACCTCACAGAGGTAAGCCCTTTCCGGCGGGGCGCCTGCGCTTTCCTTGTTTCTCGGATCACGGCAGCAGCAGCCGCAGCACTCACCTCCGACGCGTAGTACTTGGCCATGGCCGCCTCCTTGACGAAGGGCCGCCCCGCCTCCACCAGCCGCGCGGCGTTGTAGGTCAGCAGGCGCGCCGCCTCCAGCTGGGTGGCCACCTGGGCCACCTGGTGCTGCAGCCCCTGGACAGGAGGCCGCGTCAGGGAAGGCGCCCGGCCCGCCGACGGCGACAGACGCCACCCCAGAGCTCCCTCCACACCCTTCTGTGAAAACACTGCACAACCTGCCGCTGCCCGGCACGTGCTGCTCAACGCGTTTCCCAAGTTCACGGATCCTGTGTTCACGGACCAAGTTAACTTCAAAAGTTCCACTTCTATTTAATAATGGCTTTCAACCCTCATTATGTTCAAGTGGAGGGCAGACAAGTTCCAGAGGAGCAAACGGTGAGTATACACTCTCATCTGCTGGAACTAGAACCCGAGGTCCTGCAGCTGCCCCTCCCTCCAGGAGCCTGCGGCCTCCGGGAGCCTGCGGCCTGCGGAGCGTGACGCCATCGCGGGCGGAGCCAGCCCATTGCTCTGATGGGAGCCCAGCTTTTCAAAACGACCAAGCGGAATCCAGGCTCACACAGACAAGAAGCTGACACGCTGCTTCTCATGATCAAACTTTTAGGTTTTCTAAGAAGCATCACCCTGGTTTAGAAACATCACCCTGGCCCTTCCCCCCACCCCACCTCCAGCCCCCAGTCCACAGTATGCAGCTTCCTGTGTGCAAGGGACCAGCCTCCCGCAGCCCTGCCCCGCGCCTGGCCCTCTGCTGCTGTCCGGCGGCGGCCCGCTCAGAGCAAGTCCTGGAGGACCATACAGTGACCATTTGACCAGGAGCTGGGGCCACAGACCCTGTAAATCTGGTACCACCTGCCTGGCCCTGGGAACTCAGCCTCCGTGCAGAGGATGGCGGGGATCATGTGACTGCAGGGACCCTGGGAACTCGGTCTCTGTGCAGAGGATGGTGGTGGTCACATGACTGCAGAGACCTGGGCAGGCCTGCTATGCTCCCACTTTGCAGACCTTGACCTGACTGCACCCCCAGCCCGGGCCTCTGCACGTGTGCAGTGCGAGTGCTTGCGTGATGCCTGGCTGCTACGCACCTCGGGGGAGGCAGCAGGCCCAGCTCACGGGGATTACGCAGACGGCGCAGTGATCCCTCTGTATCCCCGGGGATGGACTGGCTAAGCTCCGTAAACTGCCCTCCAGCCTCCAACCTGCCAGGACCTGCTGAGGGCGGCCGGGCTGGAGAAGAAGCCGCCATGGGCCCCAACCCGTCCCCTGGCTGCCGGGAGCGCTGAGCCAGGCCCGTGCCACCCACACGGGACGGGGAGCATCTCTCCGGCACCTTCTGTGCCGAATGAGCCGGGTCGGACAGAGCGAGTCTCGGCCTCTCACTGTCAGTCACCGAACACTGTCCGACCCCACCGCGCCGGCACCTACCACGTCTGGTGGAAGCCGCCCCGAGGACGGGCCTCACCGTGACCTGACAGACGAGGCCGGGAGCCCCGGGTGTGGGCCTCGCCTCAGGCCTGGCGCCAGGAACACGGAGGACCGGGTGAGCCCAGGAGTGACAGGTGCGAGTCCGGCCCTCAGGCAGCTGTGCGGAGCCAGCCCTCAGGCTCTCCCCGACACGCCCGTGCCCCTCCTCTCCACTGGAACCCGAGGGCACCCCCACGGCTGTGCACCCCGTCTTCACCAGCGGGAAGGCAGGGAGCCGGCCGCACAGGAGAAACGCTCAGGGTGTGTACCTGGAAGTCAAACAGTCTTTTCCCAAACTGCATCCTTTCTTTAACGTACGGAACGGCGCAGTCAAAGCAGCCCTGGGCCAGCCCCAGCATCTGCGGGAAGGAGACCAGAATTTCCATTGTTAGAGCCGAACCTGGGCGGGGCCGAGTGGCCGAGCCGGGCGTCGGACCCCCGTGGCGGAGTGCAGAGCTGGAGTCAGAACTGAACTCGGGAGCAGGCGCTCACCCCTGGAGGACCACCCAGCACGTGGGCCGGCCCAGCCGCAGTTCCTCCTGGCTAACCAAGCCCACACCTACCCACCGGCCCCAGCTCGGAAACGATCCCCAAATCCACGTTCCGTGGTCATTAAGTCACACGTCAGCGTGGCACGCCACGAGGGTCAGAAAAGGGAGCGAATCGCAGGCTAAGCTTTGGGGGAAACGCCCTCAAACACAGCGTCTCCTTAGAACTCATCACCTTCCCCTCCAGCCTTTCGCTGGGCGTTCTGGGGACAGAGGATTGCGCTAGAATTACGGGCAAAGCAAATGACAGAGCTCCAGAGAGCCAGGGAGTGCGCGGCTCCCTGCGCTCCGCGCTGGCTCAGACGGTGCCATCGCCCTGGGACTGAAGCTCACGTCACCTCAGAGCAGTTTCCTGTCGACGTGAAAACTGAAATGGCTGGCTGTCCGCTAACACAGGCCCCCCTCCCCCTGCGAAATGCTTTCACTGCAAGTGCTTTCACTGGAAGGCAAGTTCTCTGTGGCGGCAGAGGGTCGAGGACGGACCCCTCCAGACAGTTCCTGAGCCTCGGTGCCTACGAGGCGCCCGCGGTAGCAGCCGAGGAGCAGCCGCTCCCTGACCCTGACCGCTGGCCAGGCTGTGGGCGGCTGGGCCATTGGCGCCGCCCGCCGCGCTCCGGCCAGCGCCCACATCAGCTCCGGGTCTGAGGCGGAACCCAGAAAGCCTTTCACCAGCTCTCTTCGGGAAGATGCTGTCTAGTTCTGTGGGGAGAAGCGCTACGACTTAGGAATATTCTGTTAGCAAACCGAGCAGCGGTGAAAAAACCTCCAGTAATGCCACCACCTTTCAGTAACCCAACAGCTGGGATCTGAATCACATCTTCAATATCTAAAAGCTCTTCCAGCCGAAACCGGTGTGGCTCAGGGGATGGAGCGTTGGTCTGCAGACTCAAGGGTCCCAGGTTCGATTCTGGTCAAGGGCATGTGCCTTGGTTGCAGGCACATCCCCAGTGGGAGGTGTGCAGGAGGCAGCCGATCGGTGTTTCTCTCTCATCGATGTTTCTAACTCTCTACCCCTCTCCCTTCCTCTCTGTAAAAAAAAAAAAAATCAATAAAATATATATATTTTAAAAAGCTTTCTGTTTTTGAATTCCAGATGTTCACTGATTAAAAGTAAATAAATGTATCCTACAAAAATGACGTAACTTATAATAAAATCAAAGGCTTCATTCATTTTCTTAGCCTGAGAAATAACTGATATCACTTAATGGAAATGGAAACGCACGGCACAGGGCCAATACGGTGGCTGGATGGTTCTCACCCTACACTCTAGCCAACTGGAGCCACTCTCCCTCCAGCAGCTCACACCAAAGTCACCTGAACTCACGCAAAACTAAGAGCTCACACGTCGTCACCTATCGATCAGAGACTTTCACTACAGACTTCAGACCACTTCTCTTCATGCAGAGCTTTCTCCCAGGGGCATTCCATGCTCCAAAAGCTGGGCTTAACGTGGAACGCTGCATCTACCTACACGCAGCTGGAAGCTGTCGATGCGGCCGGGGAAACGGCCATGTCCACCCACCATTTCCAAAAGCCACAGTCCGCGCTCTGAAGCAGGGTCCGCAGTCATCTCCCGCCTGGAGCCCGGGGCCCGGAGCCCTGCGGGCCTGGGGGGGCCCTGTGTCCGCCCGCCTCCCGCCTGCTGGCCGCACTGCATTCCCCTTCCTGGTGCTCACTGACCGCCCGGAGAGAGCGGAGAGGGCGCGGCGCCACCCACCTGAGCCGCGATGCCTATTCTGCCTTCGTTGAGGCTCCCGATGGCGTACTTGTAGCCGTGGCCCACCTGCCCCAGGACGTTGGCTTCTGGGACCTGGGAAAACAGCGTTATTTCTCGCTTAATTCGACGTAACTCATTTTGAGTGTGTGTGTGTGTGTGTGTATTTTTTCTTTTAAATGTTACCATAGCTGGTTTGGCTCAGTGGATAGAGCGTTGACCTGCGGACCCAAGAGTCCCAGGTTCAATTCCCGTCAAGGGTGGCAGGCACATCCCCAATAGGAGGTGTGCAGGAGGCAGCTGATCAATGTTTCCCTCTCATTGATGTTTTTAACTCTCTAACCCTCTCCCTTCCTCTCTGTAAAACATCAATAAAATATATATTTAAAAACAAAAAAACAAAGTGTCACAATACAAAATGCACCTGGAGGAAAAGCCAGGCCAGAGGCATGCACTCACGAAGGTGCTCAAATAGCCTGGTCCTGGCTGGTGCTGGCCCTGCGGGTGGGAGGTGCACACGTGAGTGGGGGTGCATGGGGGTGGGGTGCATGGGCCAGCGTGCAAAAATAAAAATGTTTTTGTGGATTTCAGAGAGGAAGGGAGAGAGAGGAATAGGAACCAGGAGCCCCGCTGCTGTCCGCAGGGCCCAGCGTGGGCAACAGGGTGTCACAGAGAACACGGTCTCCCTGCGGACGCAGTGGGAGCTCCCGTGGAGGCTGTCAACCCAAGAGCGCATCTGAGCATGTGCACGGACGCCTGGAGAGGGGGGAAGAGGGGGGATCGTGTTCACTCATCGTTTCCAAAAGCCACCCTGTCTCAGCCAAAGGGGCACTCAGCCCCAGGTCCGGACAGCGGGAGACGGAGAGGGAGAAAGGGGAGAGCGAGCAGAAGGAAGGCGGCGAGCCCACAGCTGCGGGCCAGTCCCAGCGCAGCTGTGAGCCAGGCCAGGCCTGGTGTGACGCAGAGAAATTGACGCCGCCCCTCTCAGGCCCGCCCCCACGGCCCCTCATTCTCTCCCCTCCTCTCTTTCTCTCTCCTCCCTCTCCCTCCCTCCCTCTCTCTCTCTCTCTCTTTCTCTCTCTCTCTCTCTCTAAGTCTGACTCTCGTTTTTAAAAGATTCCACTCAGAACCGAGGGGCTGCCTGGTGCTCTCTGTCTCCCTGAGCAATACCCCCCCCTTGTGGCCTTCGCTGTACGGCACGGGCTCCGGCCTGAGCCTGGCCACAAGCATCCTGTGTAACAGGAGCCGCGGGCAGCCAGGCTCCCTGTCGGCCAGCCCCTCGGGACAGCGCAGTGATCGTGACGCCCGAGCACGCCCTAGTCCTTGCACACGGTCCCCCATGGGGGGACGCCTCCCCACACCCACGTCCACGGGAGCTGGCTCCCACCTTGACGTCCTCGAGGGTGAGCGGGCAGGTGGACGAGGCCCGGATGCCCAGCTTGTTCTCCGCTTTGCCCACGTGGAAGCCCTCGGTGTCCCGGTCCACCAGGAAGCAGGTGATCCCGCGGTAGCCCTGGGGGAGGCGGGTGTGAGCGCACTGGCTGCACAGACCCCCTCCCCACGGCGCAGGCGGCAGGACTGACAGCGGGACTCGGGGGAGGGGAGGGGTGGGGAGGCCGAGGAGAGAGGTCCTGCTGTCTCAGCCTCCCCTCCTCCTGCCTCCGAAACGGGGCTGTTCCTGATCCAGTCACAGAATCACGTGATCAGGGGATTCCATGCTTCATCTTCAACTTCATTAAAAACCTCAACGTCTTAAAACTTAATCCGGTTAAATGTCACGTTGGAGAAAAGACAAAAGCTAACGTGTTTATAGTGCTGAATGTCTATTTTCCAATTGAATAAATTAATCCTAAAGCTAAATGAACTAAGCAGGTGCTTGGCTTTCTCAGCGTTAAATCGGGAATGAGAAACGAGACGACACAGACGTGGGGCCGGGGCACATGCCTGTGTCGGCACCAGGAGACGGTGCCGCTGGGGTGCGGCCACACCCGCCCGTGGGAGGAGGGCCGACTGCGGGACGGCCTGGGGGCTGGGCGCGGGCGGGGAGGCGGGAGGGCGGCCCGGGCACTGACCGCGCTGGGGTCCACGTTGGCCATCACCAGGAAGAGCCCCGCCTCCCGGGCGCTGGTGATCCACATCTTGGACCCGTTGAGGACGTAGTGGCCCCCCTTCTTCTCGGCTCTGGTCTTCAGGGCGAACGAGTCGCTGCCGGCCCCGGCCTCTGAGAGGCAGAAGCTCCCCACCTGCGGGGACAGAGCACCGCTCACGCTCACGCGCGGCAGGACACGCTCCCGCTCCGTGGGACACGCTCAGGCTCACGCTCCGAGGGACATGCTTAGGCCAGCAGACACCCTCCTCGTCCGTGCGGCCACGCTAACCACTGCACGTCCCAGGGCCAAGATGGCATCCTGACGGCAGTATTTCCCGACTCCCCCCTCCCGTCTAAGGCAGGCCGGGGCCCAGCACACACGTCCAATGGGAAGTGTAAGTGAATTGGCGCGGCTCCAGGAGAAACAGGGTGAGGGATGTGAAGCCTCAGTGTGGGCACCACAGACATCTTCGGGTAAAAGTAACCACTGTTTTTTCCGAGTGGAAGCGAGGGCAGTGTGTGTTTCCAGCGGCGAGAACGCACCAGGGGCTTTGCCGGTCCCACGGCCGGGCCTGGAGCAGACAGGCCACTCACAGCCACGCCCTCCCAGAAACCGGGCACGGGAGCGGCCTCCAGGCTCACCGTGGCCGTGGCCAGCTGGGGCAGGTAGGTAGCCTTCTGCTCCTCCGTCCCGTGCTTCCGCAGCAGCCCGTTCACCACCGTGTTCTGGACGTCGCAGATCAGAGCCACGGACGCGTCCACCTTGGCCAGCTCCTCCACCACCAGCACGAGGGAGAAGAAGGAGGCCCCGGTCCCTCCATACCGGGCGTCCACGTCCACGGCCATGAACTGCGGAGAGCAGGGCTCAGCAGCAGCCACAGGCGAGCTGTGAGCACGCTCCGCCCGCTGTACGCGCCGTGTGAATGTGGTTATACCCACGCGTGTAAAATCAAGCACACGCTTCTGAGAGGGCGACATAGCGACCGCCACGCTGCCCGCTCCCACCTGTGACCACAGCACTCCCCGGGAGGATGCCGGAAGCCCGGGAAAGGGCGCGGGAGCCTGCCACCAACACCTGACCGGCCCCAAGCAGGGGCGGGCGGAGGGCTGAGCGGCCCCTTCCCGCCGGGGTCCCCGAGAGGAGGACACGGAGGGCACCTGCTCGGCACGGCCTCCCCGCCAGGAGCTGCCCGGCTCCTCAGCCTCCAGGGCCACGCCGGGAGCCGTAATTCACCCCGGAGCTGGTGACAGAGGCGGGCGGCGCTGACCCCCTCCACCGCCGTCCGGGGCTGGCTGCTGTGCGGTGAGTGGGGGTCACCGAGCTGGGCTGAAGGGCGGCACAGGGAGTGGACGGGGTCGGAGAGGCGGAGAGGGGCTCCGGGAGGAAGCAGCGAGGAGCAGGGCCCGGGGCCGAAGCGCAGCTCCCCGCAGAGCTCGGACGCTATGTGACAGACCCTCCACGTCTATAGCACCCCAGCCTCTAACCCGGACGTGTTTACAGAACGGAACCCGGAGACGTAAGCCTTAGTACCCCTTGCTGGAACAGGCCTTGGATCACTGCCGGCTCCATCTTGGCGTTTTCGTCCATCGCGGAGACCAAAGGAGCCACTTGTTCCTGGGCAAACCTTTTAGCTGTGGAAACACACCGCATCTGACTCTACGGCTGGGACAGGCATTGCTTTTCCAAAAAGAATTTTAAATCCACGGCAAACAATTCCGTTCACAAACGCAGATCCGCCCGCTGGCCCGGACCTCGTGTTGCTGCCCCGTCACTGCCCCTCACCTGTGCTCTGGATCATCAGCTCCTCCTCGGACAGCGTCTGCAGGGGGGCGCCGGGGGGCCCGCCGCCCGCCGGCCTGGGCAGCGCCTGGGACTGGGAGGCCCGGAGGGCCCGGGGCGGGCTCTTCCGAGCAGGCAGGCAGGCTGGGAAGGTTCGTCTCAGCTGTAAAAACAGTCCCTGCTGAGTAGGGAGCACACAGGCACACGCGTACATGCCCACACACACCATACACACACGACCATGCACACACACCGCACACACATGCACACACACGCACACACGGTAGAAGGGTCAGAACATCCTTTGTTCACAGTCAGGGGAACAAGAGCAAACGTGCTGTGGGGACAGAAGCCCTTCACCAGCAGCAGCTCTCCGAAGGAGCGCGTTCCAGGCGGCCGACTTTGCGGCCAGCAGAGAGAACGTTCCAGATGCAGCTCGTTCTGAACGTCACGGCCTGTTTCCTCGGCTGCTCTTAGGAAGCGAGTAAAGGGCGGAAGGGAAGGTGCGCTGGCCCGGCCGGGGGCTCGGGCGAGCGTCTGCCTGGGAACCAGAGGCCACGTCTGGTTCCTGGTGGGACAGAGCTGGGCCACGGACACTCGGGACCAGGAAGGAGGGGCAAGCAGTGTGGGCGGGAACGTGCTCCCGGAAGAGACCGGGCTGCACGCTGAGTGAGAGGAGTTCATTTAAAAAAATGTTTTTATTGTTGTCAGAGAGGAAGGAGAGAGAGAAACACCAGTGAAGAGAGAGACTCACAGACCGGCTGCCTCCAGCACACCCCCTGCGGGGATGGAGCCTGCAACCCGGGCCTGTGCCTGACGGGGATGGAGCCCTGACCCCTGGTTCCAGGTCAGCACTCAGCCCCGAGCCCCGCCGCCGGGCTCCAGGGTGGCTTTGGAGAGCCCTGCCCGGCGTGGTGGCAGGCACTGGTCACTGTGTCCGCGCCTGGGGGCTGGGACCCTGGGGCCGGAACCGAAGTCCAGGGGCTGGGCTGGGTCAGACTCACCCCTCACTGCCTCTCACTGCCCCCTCCCCGCCCCCTCACTGCCCCCTCCCCGCCCTCTCACTGCCCCCTCACTGCCTCTCACTGCCCCCTCCCTGCCCCTCCCCGCCCCTCACTGCCCCCTCCCTGCCCCCTCCCCGCCCCTTCCTGCCCCCTCCCTGCCCCCTCCCCGCCCCTCACTGCCCCCTCCCAGCCCCTCACTGCCCCCTCCCTGCCCCTCACTGCCCCCTCCCCGCCCCTCAGTGCCCCCTCCCCGCCCTCTCCCCGCCCCTCACTGCCCCCTCCCTGCCCCCTCCCCGCCCCCTCCCAGCCCCTCACTGCCCCCTCCCTGCCCCTCACTGCCCCCTCCCAGCCCCTCCCTGCCCCTCACTGCCCCCTCCCTGCCCCTCACTGCCCCCTCCCAGCCCCTCCCTGCCCCTCACTGCCCCCTCCCTGCCCCTCACTGCCCCCTCCCTGCCCCTCACTGCCCCCTCCCCGCCCCTCACTGCCCCCTCCCCGCCCCCTCCCCGCCCCTCACGGGAGAGAGCCTTTCCTTCCCTTCCCCGCGTGGGCAGAGCCGGGGGGAGGCGTGAGGACACCACAGAAGGAAGGACAGACACTTCGGCCACACGGGGGTCCGGACGCCCAGAGACGCGCTGGGCTCGGGCTGCTTCAGGCCACGGCAGTCCCTGCTGCTGCCGGGTCTCCTTTAAGAGGCACAGACGTCGTATCACCACGTCACCGCCACTTCCTTGCTTTGTCACCCTATATATTTACACTTGTTGAAACATTCTTTTTAATATAAATATATATATGTATTTTATTGATTTTTTACAGAGAGGAAGGGAGAGGGATAAAGAGCTAGAAACATCCATGAGAGAGAAACACCAATCAGCTGCCTCCTGCACACCTCCTACTCGGGATGTGCCCGCAATCAAGGTCCATGCCCTTGACCAGAATCGAACCCGGGACCCTTCAGTCTGCAGGCCGACGCTCTATCCACTGAGCCACACCGGCGGGGCTTGAAACACTGAGAACAGTTTTCTCACTTCTCTACCGGCCGGTGCCTCACCCGCGGCACAGCCGGCTGAGGTCCCGGCTGCCGAACGCTCAGGTCAGTCTCTGGCCGCAGTGCGAGCCGTGCCTCCTCCGGACCGTCAGCACAGGAAGTGCTTACAGCGTGAGGCCACCGCAGACTCATGACAAAGGGGTGCTGACCTCCAGGGAGAGCCACCCCCCCTTTCCCCAGGAGATGGCTGCTGCACACAGGTCTGCTTCCCCCGCAGACAGGGGCGTGCGCGCCCCCTTTTCCCTGCAGACAGGGGTGCGCCCCCCCCCCTTTTCCCTGCAGACAGGGGTGCCCCCCCTCCCCCCCGTCAGTGGTAACCGTGACGTTAGACCCTGACTCTACCAGGAGGTGCACTGCTCACACCTCGCACACCAGGGAGGGGCTGACACAGCCCGAGAAGTGGTCAGCAGCGCGGCGCTCAGGCACAGCCTGCCTGGCCCCCGCTCTCCCCGGGGTCAGGGGGAGGGCCCCTCCTCGGCTGGCTCTTGTCCCTCTCAGGAAAAGGAGTTCTAACGAGAGACAGAAAGCAGGCGGATGAGCAGACTCGGGAACACACCGGCATAAAGCACAGCAGACGCCTCAGGGAGTCTGAGATTGTGGGGGGCGGGGGGGGGGAAGAGGGGGTTCCAGGGGCTTATACCTCTCCCCCCCAGATTTATAGCTCCTCCGCGGGATGTCCTGGGAAGCAGCCCAGGTTCCAAACCCCCCTCTGCTCTGGGTGGCTTCTTGCCAGGCACCTGCTCCTGCACTTCCATCTGGTCATCTGGTCGGGCAAGTCCCAAGGCAGCTGCCTTCTGATTGGAGGGTGAGGCCCCTCCCCTGCGCCTGCCTGGCCGCTCTCTCCCGTCCTGGCCGCCCAGGGCACAGATGGCAGAGTGGATCTCCCGTTCCCAGGCTGGCACTGAAGCGCTGCCTTCGGCTCCCAGGGTTCTCGCCAGCGGCCGCAGGCGCCCAAACCGCTTGGTCTCGCTTCGTTTTCCGTCCCAGACCCCCCTTCCACTCGCCCAGGGACTGCCCAGCTTTCCCTGGCGGCCACACTCTACCCTTGTGAGTGCTCCTGGCGGCCTGAAAGTCAGGTTGATAAGCACGGATTAGAAGGAGAAAAACAAATTAGAGTTTAACGGCACCTCCCGGCCTGTACACAGGCAGACGCGGGAACACAGAGAGGCCAGCACCGGAGACGCCGGAGGAAGGTGTGGGTGGAGCACAGGCTCGGCGTGACCAAGGCAGCGCAGGACACAGCCCCCGGTCACCGGCGGGTTCCCAGGAGTGCGTGTGAGCCGTCTGCCAGGAAGCACGGTCTCAACAGAGCGAGACACCGCTCAGAAAACGGCCATTTTACCACTTATTTCTGCATCAGCATCCAAGGGGAGTAACAGGGCGTGTCAGGGGCCGAAAGTCACCTGGCCTGGCTCTCTCCACCCTCCCTGACTCCTGCTGCGGCCACAATTCAACCAGCCCAGTCACAATGCTGCAGCTGCAGGCTCAGGACCTCCCGGTCTCCTGGCCCAGATCCCTCACAACGCCCAGCCCCTCCGCTGCAGGACGCCCCTCAGTTCCCGTCCCAAGAGCCACACCCAGCTCCGGAGAGCCTGTCTCCCCGATGGCCCTGGCACCTCTCCCTGCTCCGAGCCACAGGCACCAGTCTGGTGAGGTGAGGCCAGGTGGGTACAGTTCTAATCTTTCCACTAACAGATAAACTTATTTAATTTTTCTAAATATGCTTTTTTACCGATTTCAGAGAGAGGAAGGGCGAGGAAGAGATAGAAACACCCATGAGAAGCACCCAGGGTGGAGATCACGTCTGCAACTGAGCATGTGCCCTGACCTGCATCCGGGACATGTGCCCTGACGGGGAAGGGAACCAGAGTGGGGCCTCCTGGTGCCGGGACTCACTCCACAACCGAGCCACGCCCTGGCCAGGCGAGGAAGGAACTTCTCAGAGCTAAGTGCCAGGGCCTTCATTACTGTGTCTGCCACGGTGCTCACACCTGGCGAGAACAGAGAGAGAATGTGTAAGGACATCTACCTCCATGCGGGGCACTATTTTAAGTGCCTCACACGCACGCCATTCATTTAATCTTCACAACCCCCTGTGGGCACAGGCGCTGCCATGACCACCGTTTATGGATCGGGAAGCCAAGGCCCGGAGGGGAGAGGATTATCTTCCAGGAAGGGACAGAGCCTGGGCCAAACCCAGTTGGCCCCGGGCTTATCCGCGGTGCAGAGCCCACAGCCCGGCCGTCGCAAACGCTTACAAAAGGAGGAAGGACAAAACGCGGCCACCGACCAGCGGACCCGAACAGAATGCGTGGCCTCCCGTCTGCGCGGCACCTGCTCGCCCATTTCCTAGCTGAGTGACTCTGAGTCAGCCGCTTCACCGTGTTCACTACGGCTCTGCATCTGGGACAGGAGGCGACCTTCCTGGACGGTTGCCAGAGCTACCTGATTTGGCAAGAACTACCTGATTTGGCGAGAGCAGCGGAGAACAGGCCACCACACATCCGAGTGTGCTCCAGGAATACTGGCCCCAACACAGTCAAACTACCCAGGCGATTCCGCTAAACCATTCAACATCAAAAAACAGGACCACACAGCTGTCACAGCCACGTGCTTCTTTAAGATAATTTGCTAACATTGTTTGACTCATTTCTTTAATTACCCCTAAGTGCCAAGTAATTGTAATTATCCTGATGAAACAGAGTCCTGCCCCAGCGGAAGAACTTTTTAAAAAAATACATTTTATTGACTTTTTTACAAAGAAGAAGGGAGAGGGACAGAGAGTTAGAAACATCGATGAGAGAGAAACATCGATCAGCTGCCTCCTGCACACCCCCCACTGGGATGTGCCCACAATCAAGGTACATGCTCGTGACCAGAATCAAACCTGGGGCCAAACCGGTTTTGGCCGATGAAGAACTTTTACCTCATTCGAGCAAATAAGAGACCGTGTAAAAAGCACAGTCGCAGTCAGCAAGGCCCCAGGGCCATGAGGACACGGGAAGTGTGTGCACGGTGTGTGTGCGCGTGTGCATGGTGTGTGTGTGCACGGTGTGTCAGGGTGTGTGTGAGTGCACGGTATGTCTATGTGCACAGTGTGTGTGTGTGTGTGTGTGCACGGTGTGTGTGCGTGTGCACGGTGTGTGTGTGCACGGTGTGTCAGAGTGTGTGTGTGTGCACGGTGTGTGTGTGTGCACGGTATGTCTATGTGCATGGTATGTCTGTGTGCGTGCGTGCACAGTGTGTGTGTGCACCGTGTGTGTGTGTGTGTGTGGCGCGCGCACAGTATGTCGGTGTGTGTGTGTGTGCACGGTGTATGTGTGCACGGTGTGTTGGGGTGTATGAGTGTGTACGGTGTGTGTGCACGGTGTGTCGGTGTGTGTGTGTGTGTGCACGGTGTGTGTGTGTGCACGGTGTGTGTGTGTGTGCACGGTATGTCTATGTGCATGGTATGTCTGTGTGTGTGCGTGCACAGTGTGTGTGTGCACTGTGTGTGTGTGTGCGCGCACACACAGTATGTCGGTGTGTGTGTGTATGGTGTGTGTGTGCACGGTGTGTCGGAGTGTGTGTGTGTGCACGGTGTGTCAGGGTGTGTGTGTGTGTGCACGGTGTGTGTGTGTGTGTGTGTGTGCACGGTATGTCTATGTGCATGGTATGTCTGTGTGTGTGCGTGCACAGTGTGTGTGCGCACCGTGTGTGTGTGCACTGTGTGTGTGTGTGTGTGCGCGCACAGTATGTCTCTGTGTGTGTGTGCACGGTGTGTGTGTGTGTGTGCACGGTGTGGGGGGTCTGAATAGCCTGCCGGAGGGCCGCCGGCGCTGGAAGAATCATCAGGTGCGCAGGTGCAGCGAGCAGCACTGGGCGCGACAGGTGGGAGCCCCTGGGGCGGGGCTCCAGCTCCAGCCCGGCCGGCGGGCGGGAAAGGGCCCGGTGCGAGGCGAGCCCATCCGGGAGGATGCTGACCCCAGCCGCGGGGGGGACCAGGGCGCTCGCTGCCTGGCGGTGGGTCTGACCGACCAGCCCCGGCCCCGCCTCACTGTGGGGCAGGGCGGCGGCGGGAGGGGAGGGGGGAGGGCAGGGGCTCCGCTCGCTCGGAAGGAGCCGGGTCACGCGGTGACCATCTTCCCTTTGGGAGGGGCGGGAGGCTGAACGGAACCTTCGGGGAGAGGGGCCCGGAGGGCGAGCTGCCATCTCCGCAGTGTCTCCCTCCGCGGGGCCCGGGCCCAACAGCTGCAAGGACACCCGGCCCGCGGCCTGCGCCGCCACGCAGGGAGCCGGCTCCGCCACAGGGTCCGGCCGGCCAGCCCAGCCGCTTCCCACCGGCCGGCACTGCCGCCCGCCTTCCGGGGACCCAGGTCGCGGCCGGCCGCGGGGAACCGTCTGACACCGGCCCGCGGAGGGGCGGGCGCCCCGGTCCCGTTAGAAAACGCTGCCGCGGGGCCCAAGGTCGCCCCCGACGCTCAGCCCGCCCCGCCCCGCGGGGCACTCACCAGCGCGCCGCCGCGCAGCAGCCGCACCGCCGCGACCTCCATCACAGCCGCAGGCCGGGCGTCTCCGGCGTCTGAGCGCCAGCGAATCCCTCTAATCCCCGGCCGCTGTCAGCCACGCCCCCGCCCGCCCCGCCCTCAGCCCCGCCCCCTCCACACCCGCCCACCAATCACTGGCCACGCCCCTCGGCCACGCCCCCTCGACTACGGAACCCCGAGAGAGACAATTCTCCTTTCCGCCTTGGCGCTACTCCCTGCTCGCGCGAGATTTGACGAAAGCAGCGGGGCGGGAAGGAAGCGGAGACGCACCAAACATGGCGGCGGCCGCGGCAGCAGCGGCGGTGACGGGGGCGACAGCGGCGGCGGCGGGAGCGGCGACGTACCAGGCGGCGGCGGGGACTCGGGGCAGCTGCCAGGCGGTAAGGAGCCGGCGGCCGTCCGAGTCGGGGGCTACACGGCCAAGCGGGACGCTCGAGGGGCGAGGCGGGACGGGAGAGCCGGGTGGGCGGCTGAGCGGCTGACCCGCCCGGAACTCAGCCCCGCAGGCAGCGGGCGTGGTCGACGGCCCGGTGGGGTCGCGCCGGGGCCCGCTCAGGCCCCGGTGCGAAGGGCGGTGCCGGGGCCCGGCGGTCCCGAGGCGCGGCCGTCGGGCGGGTTTGGGGCGGCCTCGCTCTGACAGGTGGGCGTGCGGGCCCCGCGGAGGCGGCCGGCGGGCGGGCTGGGGCCTCGGCTCGGGGCGCCCGTGGCCTGGGGCCCGGGGCGGGCGAGGCGCAGCGCCCCGGGGCCCGCCGGCCGGGGGGGAGGACTGGCACCCCCGCCGGAGCGGCGCCCGGGCCGGGGCCGGGCCGCTGGAGGGCGCGGGCGGGGCGGACCCTGCGCGGCGCCCGCGGGTCCGAGTCTCGGAGGAACCGTCCGGAGCGCGAGTGGCCGGCCGCGCTCGCCGCGCTCGGCGCGTTGGGGCTGGAATTCCCTGCGGCCGGGCCGGGCCGGGCCTCCGGGCGCTGCTGGTTCCGGTGAGCGGCCCGCGGGCGGGCGGGCGGGCGCGCCGGTGGGGGCCGGAGGGACAGCCGGCGTGTAAGGAACCGAACGCCAAGGCCGCGTTTAAAATGTCTGCACCAACGACTTTCGTGGTTCCACGGGCATCGCGCCCTCGCCCCGGCCACGGCACTCACTCCCGGGGCTTGGTTACCGCGAGCGGAGGCGCTGGGTGTCTGCTGCCCCGGGGGGCGGGGTCCCTGGGGAGGGGGCGGGTGGTCCAGATGTGCCCTGGTGGGTGGAGGCGGGCGTTTTGAGCCCCCGCCCGCCAGCCTGTCCTCGTCCTCTGGGTGTGTGGTGTTTGCAGCCGGAGGGGGCCCTCTTAGCGGGGCCACGTGAACGGGTGAAATTAAGACTTGAATTTAGAGCGATGTTAGAGGCTTAGACCAACAGCATCCAAACCAGCCGCTGAGAAAAGGACAGTAGTCGCAGGAGCGCGTGTGACTCTTGGGGGACCCTCGGGAGCCTTGGTGGAAGCCGCGCTCTGTGGCCTTTGCTGGCTGTTGACAGTTTTGCGGAGCGGCCGGCCAGGGTATCCGCGAGCTGGTTAAACCTGCAGGTGCGAACCCTCCTCCCCCAGAGGGTTCCTTTGTGCTGTTTCTCTCTGCAGACCTCCCTGTGGCGTTTCCATCTCAGCTGAACCTCCCTCCATGGCCGTGGGGAGCCCCGTGGTGTGTCTCCAGAGTAATTTTCAGTTACTCCGCGTTTCATCGATGCTGGACTGGCGAGAAAAAGGAGGAACTGATTTGGGGTGAAAAGGTTAGATTGTGTGAACTCCCGCTTTTGAATTTCTCCTAATAACTTGTACTTATTTATGTCTTACTTTTATGTTTCCTAGTTTCCCAGTGCCCCCTAATGTGCCTTTTTGCCTTCAGGAATTTGTTTTCTTGACAGCTCTGTAATCGGAGGAAATGTGTTCTAATTCTCTGTGAGGGAACCATGTTATTCCCTACACAAACCAAACCTACTTTGTCAGACTTCTCTGCTGATGTCTCTTCTGTGGCCGAGTAAGTTTTTCAAGGACCATAATTATCTGTATGGAAGTAAGCACATCTATGGAACTGCAGTCACTTTTATGGTACAGGCCTATCTAACCCCTAGTTATTGCATTAGCACATTGCGAAGTACTCTATGGTTAGACAAATGTGTCAATAAAATAGGTTCTATTACCTAATCACGCATTCTCAAAATTCTCCTAGAACTTAGAAAAAAGACGGACTTGGAAGAAAGGTGGTTAGATCCCCCTGCCGTCCTGGTCATCCCAGCTGCCTCCCTGCTGGCCTGGTCACCCCTCATTGTCCCCCTCTGCTGGCCTGGTCCCCCCTCCGGCCTGGTCGACCCACGCAGCCTGCTGGTCAGTGCTGGTCAGTCGTTTAGTCGTCCCTCACCCCCTGCAGGCCTGGCTGCCCCACGCAGTCTGCTGTTCGGTTATTACTGTGCCAGTGTCATAATCAATCAGACTTGGGATATACCTCTCAAATCTATGGTAAAAGCGGACAACTCTTAAATATGTTTCCTTTTCTGATGACATCATTTTACACATTGAAATTTTGTGTAAGTTTTTTTTTGGCTAACAAGCTCCAAGGTGTTGAATTCATGGCCAGTAGGAAAGATTCTTTCAATAAAAACATAATTTGCTGATTTCCAGAGTAGATTTTTATGTTATTTTTGCAAAGGTTTTAAAATTTATTAGAGTTTTAGAGGCATTTCCATATATCAGTTAATTTGCAGAGTTCTTAGATTTAACTTTTAGTCCTGAGCCTATTGATTTTTTCCCCTGTCTTTGTAATTTCCTTCCATCCTCTGAGACTTAGGTTCGAATCCCAGTGGATGTCAGTATGAAATGTTCGTTTCCCACCATTCTGTGTGTCTCCCCCACCCCAGGACGGGACACGTGTGTAAAGACAAGGGACTGTGTCCCCTGCTGCTCTGCGTAGTGCCTGCAGCCGTGGTTTGTCACTGCTGTTTAACCTGTACTGGATCCTCCAAGTGGTGTCCCATTGTGTCCGTTTCCCCAGGTACAACGAACCGTGAACTGTAAAACAGCCCACACAGAGCAAACCAAGATGGGCGAGAAGAAGCCGGAGCCGCTGGACTTTGTGAAGGACTTCCAGGAGTACCTGACGCAGCAGACGCACCACGTGAACATGATCTCGGGTTCCGTGAGCGGCGACAAGGAAGCGGAGGCTCTTCAGGGAGGTAGCCTCTCCTCCTCCTCTCACTCCTCCTCCTCCTCCTCCTCCTCCTCCTCCTCCTCATCCTCCTCATAATCGCAGGCCTGTCTATCATTACTGTCCATCCCCTATGGGAGTCACTCCGTCCTTCCTACACGATCAGGGCCGTGTCCTTTCTCTCTGTGAACACGTCAGAGTTTGTGAGGGAGACCCAGGCTTCCCCTGGCCGAGCGCTGCCTCACGGTCTCGGACGATGCCGGTGCTAGTGTCCCCTGTCCTCCAGCTTCTGTAGATAACGGGACCCAGGCACCCGGGCCTGCGTCCGCTCACACACCACGGCCTCGGCCACCGGGGGTGCTGTGTTAGGCCTGGGACAAGGGGGTTTGGTTTCTTCTCTCACATGAAGAGAGAGTGACGGGGAGGAGAAGCGGGGCAGGAGGGCAGCGGCCATGCAGACAGACAGACTGTGTCTTGTTTTCTCCCACACACGAGCTGGGTTCTGACCTCACTCAGGTCCTCACACGACAGCCTGTGAGCCCATCTGGCCCGCCAGCCATTTGTTTCTGTGACCCGCAAGCCAAGAGCGGTTTCTCCTTGAAAGATGGTTGGGAAAAATTAGAATGTCGTAACGTGAAAATCATGAAATTCAAACGGCAGCCTCCGAAAATAAAGTTTCATTGAAATACAGCCGCACTTGCTTGTTTACATTTTCTGTGCTGTGCTGGCTGCCAGTGCAGGGTGAGGAGTTATGGGAGGAGCCAGGTAGCCCACGGCCTGAAGTGTTTACCATTGAGCCTTGTAGGGAGAGATGCGGGCCCCTGACCGAGATGGCTGATGGCCTGTGGTCGAGGGCCGGCAGCAGAGTTAATTTGCAGAGTTTTAGATAAAACAGGAGCTGTGGGAAGTGCGGGATGTCAGCCAGTCCACACTCCCCGGTGACTCGCACGCCCGCTAAGTTCAGAGAGCCCTGGCCTGGGGGAGTGCGGGCGGGCGGTGCTGGGTCCTGGAGCAGCAGAACCACTCTCTCCGGGTGGGTGCCGCTGGAGTTCCGCACGGAGCACTGCTGCCTCCTGGGGATGGGACGGAAGTGCTTTCCCTGGAAGCTGGGAATAAGCAGGTCCCTGCAGACACCAGTGTGCAGGTTGCCGGACGGGGACTTGGGTACCAGGGCTCTTCCCGCCATTTGCTGGTTTTCCCGATGTGAGCGCTTGCCCTCACTTCCTTCTACAAAGAAGTAGATTGGGTTGAGAGCCAAGAGCCAAGCATCTTTAGCTCTCAGTTTGCAGGTCTAACATCAGAGGAACCCAATACCATGTGTTTTATGTGCTTAGAGGATTAGGATCCCGGATGCAACCCAGGATTTAGGGCATCTGTACAGACTGAGTGGAACAACGCAACTCGGCATTGATTGGTTTAGGCTTAAGAAAGCAGTTAGGATCTGGGGAGATTTTCATGACTTCCAATTGTATTTATAGATAGAAGCGGCTAGAACGTAAACGTGTAGCTGCCGTCACTACTTCCTCCCCTCTGTCTCCTCTTTGTCAGACAAGGGCAGCACCCGATCTGGCCACTAAGCCTGGCAGGACTGGTGGCTTTGTGAGGAAGCTCAGTGAGCTGCGCTCTTAGGCAAGGTATTGGGCCGCTTCAGACTAGAGTGCATGCTACGTTCCTCTGAGATGCACACTCTCTGCCGTCCTTTGTTTATAGCGGGGGCAGATGGTGACCAGAATGGCCTGGACCACCCCTCTGTGGAAGTGTCCCTGGATGAAAACTCAGGAATGCTAGTGGACGGGTTCGAAAGGACCTTCGATGGGAAGCTCAAGTGCCGGTATTGCAACTATGCCAGCAAGGGAACAGCCCGGCTCATCGAGCACATCCGCATCCACACAGGTACCGGGCGGGTGGGGGGCGCGCTGGGGGCGGGGAGGGCCCGGAGGTGGGTGGCCTGTGGTATCAGTAGTTCTGATCGTTTGAAAACGAAGGTTGATGTGAGGTTTGAATGGACGGGGAGTGATAGCATAACAACACCCACCCAGGAAGTGAGGCCCGGTAAAGTTCCCCTTCCTCGGCCATCTTCCTTCCGATCCACCTCGTCTCTCAACCCCTGTCTGGCCATCTCTCCCGCTTTTCTCTCTAAACAGGTGAAAAGCCTCATAGATGTCACTTATGTCCCTTTGCCTCTGCTTACGAGCGCCACCTGGAAGCACACATGCGTTCCCACACGGGGGAGAAACCATATAAATGTGAACTGTGTTCCTTCCGCTGCAGCGATCGGAGCAACCTGTCCCATCACCGCCGGCGCAAGCATAAGATGGTGCCGATTAAGGGCGCCAGGTCTTCCTTAAGCAGCAAGAAAATGTGGGGTGTTTTACAGAAGAAAACCGGCAACCTGGGCTACAGCAGGAGAGCGCTCATCAACCTGAGCCCGCCCTCCATGGTGGTGCAGAAGCCGGACTACCTTAGCGACTTCACCCACGAGATCCCCAGCATCCAGACGGACTCCTACGAAAGCATGGCGAAGACCGCCTCGGCAGGGGCTCTGCCCCGGGACCCGCAGGACCTCCTGGTCGACAACCCTCTCAACCAGCTCTCCACGCTCGCAGGGCAGCTGTCCAGCCTGCCCCCCGAGAGCCAGAACCCCGCGTCCCCCGAGGTCGTGCCCTGCCCGGACGAGAAGCCTTTCCTGCTGCAGCAGCCCTCCGCCCAGGCCGTGGTGTCCGCCGTGGCCGCCAGCATTCCCCAGAGCGCCTCCCCGCCCAGCCCCGAGCCCCGGCCGCCCCAGGGCCAGAGGAACTACAGCCCCGTGGCCGGCCCCAGCAGCGAGCCCAGCGCTCACACGAGCACTCCGAGCATCGGCAACAGCCAGCCGAGCACGCCCGTGCCCACCCTGCCGGCCCAGGACCCACAGCTCCTGCACCACTGCCAGCACTGCGACATGTACTTCGCCGACAACATCCTCTACACCATCCACATGGGCTGCCACGGCTACGAGAACCCGTTCCAGTGCAACATATGCGGCTGCAAGTGCAAAAACAAGTATGATTTCGCCTGCCACTTCGCAAGAGGGCAGCATAACCAGCACTGACCGCAACAGTCACGTTGTTCTGCACTTGGTTTTGGCTTTGTGCGTTTTTGAGTTTTGTTTATCGTTGGTTTTTGTTGTTGGGGGAGGACCATCCCTAATATGCTAATTTAAAGTTTATACGTTATATTTATAGAAAACACAAAGTTGACAATGGAAACAAATGTTTTCCTTTTTTCCCCCATAAAAATTTGGTCAGGGTCATTTATAAGGACAGTTGGACACATTGGTGTCTGTTTTTTTCTTTTATTTAGACATTTGATGATTGAAGTGCAATCTTAATCTTACAGGTATTCATGTAAACCCCATATGTATGGTCCATGTAGACTTCAAAGCTTGATCTTGGTGGTGTTTCTCTGTATACGCAGCTAGCTGGCATTTCTGCCATATTTAAAAATGGTAGAAAAATTACTTTCTCACCAATGTTGTTACAACTTATTTCCATGTTTAGCAGAGGAATTGCCTTTAAAATTGCTCTTTAGAGAGTTGAAATTCTATCTAGTTCACTTAGTTTAAGTTGAATTGATAGTTTCAACTGATAGAAGTAAAGCTATTTCAGTACATAGTAAACCTTTTTTTTCCATAAGGGGGAATGTAAAACAGTTAATTCCTTTAAAATAAAGTTATAAAAGTGTGAGAGGAATGTTCTGAAAAGAAATGAAACAAGGCTTTACGTTGAAAGTGGAGTTTAATATTTGAAAACCTGTTTATTCAATCTCTTGTTTAAAAATGCATTTTCCATTGGATTCGTTTTATTATACTTGTAGTTTATTTTTAAAACCACAAGTAAATACACGAGAATGCTAGAAGTATCAGGGTGATTATCTATGAAGATGCCTTTTTGTTCTTTTAGTTTGAACCTGTATTAAAAACCTTTCATCTGACACAATTACTGTCAGGTGAGCTTGACAAGGACATTGAGTGTCTGTTCTCTTCTCCCTCCCGTTCCTTTGATGACCAAAGAGGTAAGTGCAAGTCCTATCTGGTTCCCGGAAACAGTTCGTCACAGAGTCCCACCGTCCTGTTTCCTGTCTTGCACCCGTTTATTGTCCATAATTTCTCCACTGTGTGTGTAGGGACACGTGGGGAAAGGTGAGGCGGAGGACGTTTTGAAAAGGAAGCGTACATCCAAAACGAATTGTCTCCTCTTCAGAATTGGCCCTACGACACTTAGTGTGACTCCATGTGGTGGTGCTCACTGCGTGAACCAGTCTTCTTGGCAGTGACAGAGCCACGGGAGCTGGCTGCCTTGACGCCGTGGTGGGCAAGGACTTACCTGTGAAAGCAGATAGCGGACGCAGACATAGTTAACTTGTTTACAGAAATAAGATGTGCTAATTAATCTAGAGGAATTTTGAATAGCAGGTTGTTGTTTATATATTATGTAATAACTCAATTACCCTGAAGCGCACTTGGTCAAACAATAAACTTACTATTTCTAACTGTTGGTTTCTGTATACTTTGCAAACATTTTATTTTTAATTTGGTTTAAAGCTTGAAAGTTACTTAACAGGTTTGTAAAGAGAACGCCCTAATGATTGAGCGTTTATTAACTAAAAAGTACACTATTCCTAAAAGGGAAATGTCGATGGCAAATGTCCACAAAAGCCCTAAGGGCCAAGTTAGTGGGTCATCTGCCCCCAGTGCTAGAAAGCCTTTCAAAGGAGCTCTTGTGGGCTAGTGTTCCGTCAGCTAATCTCAATGGCACTGTCCAACCAGCAGCATCTCAAAGGGCTTCTCCAGCTCCACCTCTTCCCTCAACCCTAAGGCTCCTGGGGCCAAATCCTAGTCCTGCTTCACTCTCGCTCTGCTCACCGCTCAGACCAGGGTCCGTGACGCCATTTCCAGATACATAACTTCGCCCGAATCCATCCATTCCCACAGAGCACGAGGGTGCTGTCATTTGGAAGCTTGTTTTCCCCTTACTTTTACTTTATTCAAATAAAAGCAATACGAAAAATGGGAAATGCAGGTTTCCATTAAACAAAAGGGAGAACTCTCTTGTTAAAACCAGTTTATTAACTCTACATTCTGGGCCAGATAGTGACAGCTATATTTTTTTCTGACAACTATAGATGTTTTGAAGGTACATTTTGCTTTCAATGTAGATTTTTTTCATAATTGCAAACTCAAATGTATGACTGATGTCCCCGAGACAGCACAGTTGCTATTCCAAGGCGTGATGCTGGAAAGCCAGTTAAGGCACGCAAGTCCTTGAAGCGAACCTGCCTCAGCCGCTCTGTAATGTCCTGTTTTTTTTTAAAAGGTTTAGGGTTTCACTTAAATCTCTGTGTTAAATGTATCCTCCACTAAGCATTGAATATGTATATCCCATTTTATATTTAATCCCGTTTTATAAAAATGAGGTGTTGGGGAAAGTTTAACATGCAATGTTTATTTTGCTGTTAACAGGCAATGTTCTGAAACTAAATTTATTTTTGTTCAGTAAACATAAGTTGAGATTTTTAAAGTTGGTAGACAATTTATCTCCACTAATATTTTTTTAAGAAACTGTGAAGGAATGAATATGGAATAACTGATTTCACTAATGTAGTGTGTAGCTACAACTTCTTGACATTCAAGTCAAGGCTAGACTTGTACTTTGAAAAAATCCCACTGGCTATTTTCCTGCTATTTCATTTAGAAAAAGGTGTGTGCCATTCACCTGCAGAATTGTTTGACAAAGGGAATATAGCTAAATATATGTTCAGAGAGAAACCTTTTAAGTTCTGCAAAAATATTTACCAAATGGCTGTATTATTTTTAAAAATTCCCTACTAAGGATTTTTTTTATTAAGTAATTTTAGAGGGTTAGATGATTTCTAGAACGTGTTTTTGTTAATATGTACTTTGATGTAAAGGACATACTTTGTATGCAAAACAAAAAGTCTGATCGCAAAAACCTGTCTAGGGATTCCAGAAAGCGATCAGCACTGAAATACCAGTGTCCAGTGTGTGGCTCATGCTGTTCAAGAAGCTCTGCCTCTGTAACACGAATAAAAACTTACACTTCCTAATGATTTCGATTTTTCTTCTTTGAGAACTAGGATCCAATTAACTGTGTAGTAATTTTCCAGGATTTAAAACGTTAATTAAAACACAAGGTTTCTGGCTCCATTAGTTGGAATGTGTAGACTGCCTTACCCATGAGTAGATCTGTCACATGACTTAAAACCAGAAGATCCACACAGCCACATTGGTCTCCTCCCAGTTTCTCCGGTTTATTAAACATCCTTTCGGGGTGCCTCCTGTCCCACCCCGCCCTGTGGGTCCCGGCACATCTGAGGGAGGCAGCCTCTGAGGCTGCTGTCCAGGTCACACGTGACAGGTGGATGGCCAGTCGTTTCTGTTACACAAATGGACCCGATGTTTGTGAACAATAAGTCTGGCAACTCCTGTCATCGGCCTAGAGAATGTGCAGTAATGCAGAACTGTAATCGGTTTGCGAAATCTTGCCCACGATCACTCTGATTGGAAGTGGCGTCTTAATGCTGCTCCGAGAGGTACTTGCGCACGAGGCTGTCCTTCTCGTCCTGAAAGCGCGCGACCGCGTCCGGGACGCCCGGGGCCGGCGAGCACGGGCCTGCCCTGCCTCCGAGCCTCAGGTCCCGCAGCAGCCCCGCTCGGAGCTGGTTCAGCGCCGCCGCCAGGAGCTTCAGGTCGGGAGGCCGCGGGCACGCATCTAAAGCCAAGACGGTCACGGTCACGGCCACGGTCATGGAGTCACACCAGCGCCACTGCCGTTACTTCAGACAAGCAGTCAGGCCCCATCAGTACAACTGAGCGGTGTACAGACAGAAGGCCCGTTACTGGGGGATACACGCCCTTTAAGTGGCCGCTAGGGGGCTGCGGGCAGCAGAGACGAGCCTGAGGGGAGGCTTGCTGACCACGCACTGAGGCACTGAGGCCGGAGACACCCCCCGCTGTCCTGTAGCTCTCTCCCGGAGGGAGTGTGTGTCTGCCCCGTCCAGCCCACATGTAGTTTCCATGTCCACTACAACACAGTGGCTGTGGGGTACTCCCGTACGTGCACCAGAGCCACAGGCTAGCACTGCGCCACGTTCACTATCACCGTCCTGCTTCCTCCAATCTGGTGGCCGAATCTAGGTGTCCCAGCCTCACGCTCCAGGGCTGGGGCTGCCGGGCTGCTTTCATGCTGCTAACGTGTTCATGGCTCGCCATGTAACATGCGTCAGGGCTGCTTTCCTGTCTGTGGCGAATGGCCCGTGCTACGTGGGTGCCACCTTTGCTCTAAGCCGCTGCCAGCTGATGGGTATGGGTGCTTCCGCCTTCTGGCTGTTAGGAACGATGCTGCTAGGAGTGTGTGTGCTACGAGGGGCACTGCCGGCCTGGCCGGTGTGCTCAGTGGATAGAGCATCGGCCTGCGGACTGAAAGGTCCCAGGTTCGATTCTGGTCAAGGGCATACACTTGGGTTGTGGGCTCAATCCCCAGTGGGGACTTGCAGGAGCAGCCGATCCATGATTCTCTCTAATCATGGATGTTTCTCTCTCTCCCCCTCTCCCTTCCTCTCTGAAATCAATAAAAATATATACATTTTTAAAAAGAGTGGCGCTGCTGGGTCCCCTGGTAACGCTGCCATCCATTTCCGCGGTGGCCGTGAGGCCAGCCTCCCCACCCCTCCCCGCACTGACCTCTGACGGGGTGCCCTGGGCCTGGCCTGGGCCTCGCTGTGGTTTTTCTCTGGCGGTAGTGACCAAGCACGCACAGCATAGAAGGACCTGCGTACCTTTCGCTTCCTTCATGGTCTGCGAGACAATCCTTCGCAGCGCCTGGTCAGCCTGGTGCAGCGTGCTGGAGGAGCAGACGGCTCTGTCCGCTTCCTGATGAGAACGGGGCGCTCAGGAGGGCCTGGCTCCGAGGCCGGGGGCTCTGCTCCTCCGCCTCCCCGGGGAGAGGCTCCCAGTGAGCGCCACCCGCGGGCAGCGGTGCCGGGCAGGGGTGCGGGTGAGTGACAGGGTGGGCTCGCCAGGAAGACACGGGGCGGCCACAGCGCTGTCAGTCTGTGTGAGCGCCCCCTCCTTGCCTTCCCACTGACCCACAGAGGCTCGGCACAGCGAGGGGGCACCCCTGGCCCTGAGGGAGACACACCTTCTGTTCCACATTGTCCTCCACGTAGGTCACTGGGTTTTCCAGGGCAGCGAGCAGCAGGCCGGTCAGCTCGGGGCTGGAGGAGGAGGAGGAGGAGGAGGATGTTACACATCTTCACCTGCGGGGTGAGGGGGGGGGACTGTGCCTCCTCCTGTGAGCGTTAGTCCACGGCCAAGGCTACGGAGAAACGGTCGGCGCAGGGCTGCGGGGGAGGCAGCAGCTACCTGGGAGGAGAGGCTCCCTGAGGTGGGGGCAGCAGCTTCCGTGGGGGGAGGCCCTGGGGAGGAACTTTCTGCGGGGGAGCGGGTACCTGGCCTCAGGCGAGCAGGTGGCACTCCGCACGGTGAGGCTGTTGAGCTCCCAGGCGTTTTTCTGGGGGTTGGGCTCCTCCATCTTCCCCTGCATCAGGTGGATGGTGTCTGCGGGCAGCGCCCCGGGCCGCCGGCCATTCCTCTGCAGGCAGGTCTCCAGCGGGCAGTCCAGGAAGAGCTGGCAGAACCCCAGCGAGTCTGGGGACCACAGGCTGCGGTGAGTGGTGCCTGCTGCCCGCGGGTGGAGGAAGCCAGACCCCGTCCCGTCTCCGCAGGAGGGCCCCCCACCCACCCCCTGCACCTGCCTCAGGCAAGCACGGGGCCTCACTCACAGCGCCGCGCCAGCCGGTACACCTCCAGCCGCATGCTGCGGTAGTAGAAGTTGTCGTCCAGGATCAGCAGTAAAGGGCCGGCCGCCGCCGCCGGGGTGGGCAGGAGGTGGGCCTGGCCCTCCGGGGCGGGGGCGGGACGCAGCAGGCCCTGAGCCTGCAGGCTGGCGGTGAAGGCCCCCCACAGGGCCCCCGTGCCCCCGGATGGCGCCGACAGCGGGGCCCGGTGCAGCAGCGCCCGCAGGAAGCCCTCCAGGCACCCGAGCAGCTCCCGGCGCAGCGCCTTCCAGCTGGGCGCCTGCAAGAGACCAACGCACCCTCCATCTGCACTGTCCTCGCGCCCCGCCTCCCACAGCCCCACAGGGACCCTGCCTGTGCACCCAGACTTTCCCATACACCAGATGTGCTGTGCTTTTGCGTATAGAGTGAAACCGTTAGGGCAGAAATAAGAATATTGGGGACCAGCTACAATTATAACAAACATTAACCATGCTCTGCTAGCTGTGATTGCTTTGTTGATTAAAGAAAGCACGTTTGAGCAGGGCTGGGAGTGCAGGAGGCTCAATTGCAGCCCATCCCCCACTGCGGGAGCTGCCAGGGCCACAGAACCATTAACAGCCTGCCTCACCTGAGGCGCCAGCCCTCTGCACAGCCCGCGCCTCTGCACACCCGCCCGCATAGCCTGGAACTGCTCCCTCTTCACACTCCTCTCGTCCCCTGTGCCCACTCCCCCATGTAACCTTGTCCGTCTACCCAATGCAAGCGGCTGGCTTATGGCAGGAGGCAGCAGGTTTTGTGGTTGACCAGCTGCTCCCCATGCTCCCGGCAGGACTGGAATAAACGCTCACACATGACTCACCCCTGTCTCTGCTGAATTGGCTCCAGTGTGACAGGCAGCCCGGACCCCCTGACTGTCCGGTTTCAGAATCACATCATAGCTGTATTTTATTTATGTGAATTCATCTTCTGAACAAAAGGGGCCAAATGCTAACCTAACTCAGGGAAAGCCTGTGTGGCGGCCTTGCAAACTCGGAGACCTAAAGTGACCATGAAGGATGATCTGACAATGGTAAGATAAGTACACATATAATACCTTAATAAGATAAAGAAAAGAAAAAAGAAAAAAAAAAAGAATGGTCTGAAATGAAAAACTTTTAATTAAAAAGCGTTTACAGCCGAAACCAGTTTGGCTCAATGGATAGAGCGTCGGCTTGGGAACTGAAAGGTCCTGGGTTCGATTCCGGTCAAGGGCATGTACCTTGGTTGCGGGCATATCCCCAGTAGGAGGTGTGCAAGAGGCAGCTGATCGATGACTCTCTCTCATCGATGTTTCTAACTCTCTCTCTCTCCCTTCCTCTCTGTACAAAATCAATAAGATATATTTAAAAAAAAAAAAAAAAGCGTTTACAGTGGATAGTCCTGTTCTAGGCCAGTATCTTCCCTGACAAAGACCAACTTTGACCTTTACTGAGCATCTAGGATAACGTATCTGTGAAATATCTAGGTTACTTATAACTTCCTCCTCCACCATCTCCCCCACCACCCGCCACCCCTTAGGGCTCACAAATGGCACCTGGGTGGAGACATGTTCCCTCATTCTCACTGTTATGGTGTTAGCTGGACTGTTAACTATCCTGTGCCCACCTGGGCAAAACATGTGTGTCTATCATTTTGCTTTTTACCAATCCCAGAGGTCCCACCCCATCTTGCTTTCTCCCACCTCCCTCATCTGTCATGTAACCCACTGAGGTCTCCTCCTTTGCTGGTAATTTATTTAAAAAAGGTGAGAAACCACCGTTCCCCGGAGCTCTGCCTAGCTACACTGAGACTGTCAATCCTGGCAACTGTCGACGGTCTGGCTCAAATAAACTCACAAAAACTCTTTACAGGTTTGAATGTTTTTTTTTCTACATTAACAATCTACACTCAGGCATAAACGACAAAAATGGCTACTTAAAGTATTCAGAATATTTCAATCAGTGTTTGCTGTAGAGTGAGCATGAGATGGGGAGCATAAATCTACTCTACCCAGAGGCCTCCGAGTTCGCACGCTTCTCCCGGGGGATGCATCTCATTGCAGAGAGCGGGATTTGAGAGCTTAAAGCGAAGCATGGATTTGAAACACACAAGTTGGTCCCTAAATACAAGCCATTAATTCCTTTGGTGCCACCCTCCCCTGTGCCTGCAGAGGCAGCTTTACCCAGAATGAATGAAGATGGAGCCGCAGGCCCTTCATGTACAGCCTCTTTATCGTCCTGGGAGGGACCCTAGCAATTTTGTTATTTGTATTCTTTTTTTTTTTTTTAATTTCTTAAATATATTTTTATTGATTTCAGAGAGGGAAGGAAAGGGAGAAAGAGAAATATCAATAATGAGAATCATGGTTCGGCTGCCTCCTGCACGCCCCCTATTGGGGATTGAGCTGGAAAACTGGGCATGTGCTCTGACAGGCAATAGAACCCTGACCTCCGTGTTCATAGGTCAATGCTCAACCACTGAGCTATTTCAGCCAGGCTGGTATTCCTTTTTTTTTTCTTTTCTTTTCTTTTCTTTTTTCTTTTCTTCCTTCCTTTCTTCCTTTCCTTTTCTTTTTAAAAAAATATATTTTATTGATTTTTCACAGAAAGGAAGAGGGAGGGATAGGGAGTTAGAAACACCGATGAGAGAGAATCATCGATCAGCTGCCTCCTGCACATCCCCCACTGGGGATGTGCCCGCAACAAAGGTACCTGCCCTTGCCCGGAATCTAACCCGGGCAAGGGCAGGTTAGATTCAGTCCGCAGGCCGACTTTCTATCCACTGAGCCAAACCGGTCCCGGCGTATTCCTTTTTCTTAAAAAAGGTTCCTCAAATGGTATGAACTCTAAACCCCACAAGCCTGCATTGGCGCCTGGCTGGATGTTAAACTGGCTGAGGTGGAATTGTGAGAGAACAACCTTCCCAAAGGATTTTCAAGTCTGTTTGACCTGGAGATTCCCACCTGAATGACCCCGTGAGAGTACGCCGCAGGGAATATACACACATACCTGCTTCATACCTGCATAGTGTATAAGCCTCTGTAAGATTACTCTACGATGGACAATACATACCCGCCCCCTACGAGCATATAAGCTCTATACTGAATTACTCTTAAAATGCCCTCAACTCATTCTACCCACACCAGCCTCCCGCCCCTCCAGCCCCGGGCCCCACCTCCCACCTCCCACCCAGGCTTCCCTCCAACCCTGCAGCCCAGCAGGTGATTTGCTAAGGCCCCAGCCGAGGCCCCGCCCTCCGCGCGCACTGACCAATGGCCCCGCGGCCTCCTCCTCCGGGAACGCCTCCGGCATGACGTCATCGTAGGCGACGACGCCCACGGCCCAGCGCCGCTCGCGCCGCAGCCGGAGGCTGAGCGCCCGCGCGAGGGTGGACTTGCCGGCGGCGGGCAGGCCGCAGAGCACGCAGAGCGCCGCCCGGGCGTCCTCGCCGGCCCTCATGCCGCCGGGGGGCCGCGAGCCGCCTTCCGCCCGCGCTCCCGCTCCGCCCGGCGCCGCGGGGCTGGGAGAGGCGCGTATGAACCCGAGGGACCCGCGGCGGCGGCCTCGGTGCGGGGGCGCCCGTCGGGCTGGGCGGCGCCGCGATGCGGCCCCCGGCGGCAGGACAAGGGGAGTCTCCGGCTAGTCGTCCTCGCTGCCGGGCGCCTGCCGGGCCGCGGGGTCTGGGCGCCGCGCTGCTGGCGGTGAGGGCCCGCCCCGGGAGAGGCCCGCGGAGCCGGCACCGCGGCCGCGGGGCGCCCGGTGACCGCACCTCAGGGAGTCGGCGCGGCCCTGACTGACTGCCAGGCCGGAGCGCAGCGCCGCGGCCCGCCCGCCTCCCGCCGCGCGTGGGCCGCCGCCCGCGCTGCCGTCGGACTCGCTCTCGCCCCGCGGAGCCCGTGGCCGCGGCAGCTGGGTGGCCGCTGGCACAACCGGAAGTTGGTCGTCGTCGTTCCCCCGACCCTCGGCCCCGCCGGAAACCGGAGCTCCGAAGAGAGGTTCCGGGCCGGCCGGCCCTGGCGGGGGCCAATGGACACCGAGCCTGAGGACGAGCGGTCGGCCGGACACCCCACGCTGGCCGCCTCCTGGGACGCCGCGTGCAGGGCGCTGGGCCGGAGCCTCCGTGTCCGCGGAGCCCAGGACCCGGACTGGGAGGAGCTGCTGGCGCCGCCTGCCTCGGGGTGCGCGGGGCCGGCGGGCGGGGGGCGGCTCCGAGGCGGCCACGATCCGGGGGGAGGTGAGAGGGGACGTGGGGCCGGGAGGGGAGAGCGTCCGGCCCGGGTCCGGGAGCCCACCGGGGCCGGGCTGTGCGGGGACCGGCCAGACCCGCGAGGGGCGGGGCGGGGCGCCGGGCACGGGGCGGGGGCCTGGCCTCAGGGTGGCAGCCGCTCCCCCGTGTCCTCCCTCAGCCCTGAAGGCCCCGGCCTCCGCCTCCCCCACGAGCAAAGCCCTCCTGGGCCCCAGAGGCGGACGCTGTCCCATCCCTCGGGAGCCTCCCCCCTGGAAATCTGGGAGAAGGGCCTCTGTCTTCTGTCCTGTCCTCCTCCCGCTCCGCACAGAGCATGGCCCCTGAGCCTTCTGGTAGCCGAGAGGTCACTGCGGGAGATGGAGGAAGACGTCCCTGATCCCGGGCGAGAGCAGGAAACCCCGGGGTCCGAATGCCCGTTCCTCCGAGGAGGGTGTTTCCCATTGTCTCCTTTCCTTCCGTTTTGTTTAGAGAGAGGATGGCGGGAGGGAGAAGGGGAGGGAGAGTCAAAGAGAAACACGCAGATGGTTGCCTCCTGTTCCCACCCTGACCTGGGCCTAAGTTGAACCTGCAACCAAGGTCCATGCCCTGGACCTGCGACCTCAGTCCCTGCGCTGAGGCCGCCGCTGAGGAGACAGGCCAGGGCTGCACCGCCCTTTCTCTGTGAACCTGCTGAGCATGTGTTGGCTGCTGGGAGGGGGTGTGACCCCAGAGGCCAGTGGAAGTGAATGGGAGTCAGCCCCGGGCCTGATCGGTGGGCAGCAGCAGGGCCGAGGCCACACTGTGATCCTGTCACTTCCTCCTCAGCCGCCACCTGGTACGTCTGCAAAGGAGCCCCAGGAGCCCCGAGGGAAAGCCCTGCGTCCTCTCCCTGAGCTGCGCCCCGAGGGGAGGTGAAGAGATCGTGTCTGTGGGCATTTTAAGTTCAGCGAGAAACATGGAAGTGTACTTGGCCGAGGAGTACTATGGCACCAGTAGGGGCAGGAGTGTTGGTGATGTGCTGGACTCCAGGTTTGTGACTCAGCGAGCAGGTTGCTTCTGAGGAGGGTTTCTGTGGGCCCAGCTCTGGCAACACCTCTTGCTTCTCTGACATTGGCCTCAGACCGGAGTGGGAGGGCTAGAAACACACCAGCACCTGGGAGTGCAGGCCGGGGTCCTGGGCACAGTCTGGGTCAGTCCTGTTGCCTTAGCAACTGCAACCTGACGGCTGGTGGGAGGGGGGTGAGCTGGGGAGGGTCCCAGCCAGCGCCTGGTCCGTATCCAACAGTATCTGACCATCAGCCTGGGGCTTTGAACATGCCTCCTGAAGGAAGCCCTTTGCAGACAGTGCAGGCACCCAGCACGGCCATCCCGCACGCCTACCCGGGGGCTATGCTTTTTGATTTCAGAGGAAGGGAGTGGGAGAGAGAAGCATCAATGGTGAGAGAGAATCCCTGATGGACTGCCTCCTCACTGCCCTCTCCCAGCTCATGGAGAAGCACTGTCCTGGAACCCTTATCTCTAAATGTGACCGTGCTCCGTGATCATGTGCCCAGCGGCCGTGGCTAGTGTTGAGCATCGGTCCACCAAGGCTGGGAGGTCACAGTTGGGTTCCTGGTCAGGCACATGCCTGAGTTGCTGGCTCCATCCCCAGTAGAGGGCAGTCAGGAGGCAGCCCATCAGGGATTCTCATCATTGAAGTTTCTCTCTCCCCCTTCCTCTCCCGGGAACACATTTTAAACATTTAATTTCTCAATTTTAAAGAGTGATAACGTGTGAAAACAAAAAAGTCCATTTTTATTTTTTCTTTTCAGCGAACAAGAAAAAATTATCTTATACAGAAATTTTCTAAGACTGGAGCCCGCTGCACGTGCGTGTAAAATAAAGGTGAGTCGTGACTAGATCTTAGATAAGTTGGAAACTGCAGTTGTTTTGTTCGGTGCACATTCATGTTATGTGGGTTAGTGATTCTCGATGTTCTCCCTTAAAACCGGCCCATGTGTTAGCTCCGGCCATGCCAGGCCACGGACTAGGTTAACACAGTTAATGCTGCTGTGCTCTCCGGCTTTGAGAGACTCAGTTAAAAATCATTTTTATTTTGACATAAAAGTTAGGTGCCAAGAAAACCACAAGCAGATTTGGGACCAAAATCCTGAGAATAAGACCCAGGGAGGGGATTATAGACCAGGACAATCACCTAAGCATGTAAAACTTATTTTACGTGTGATTGTTTAGTGTGGAAGTAATTTTCTTACTTAAATGGTTGAGTATTGGTCAGACTTTCACTATTCTAGCGAAACGGAAGTGAACTTGTAGACTATTGACGCTTCCTGTTACCTAGGTAACAGCAGGAAGTGACCTGCAGTAAGATTTGGCTCCACATGGTTACTTTCCCGAACTTGTGTTTTCTGCAGCTGCTCTCCTTCGGGGAAAAGCCGCGTGTGTTCGTCAGCCAGGTGGTGGTGCACGTGCGGCCCAGCCTGGCCAAGCCTCCCGCCAGCTCTGCTGCCCCGGGGCCCAGGGTGGACCTGGAGAGGGTCCACAGCCTGCTGGCGGCCATGGGGTCCACGCTGTCCCCGGGGGCTCAGCAGCTGATGAGTATGGTCAGATTCCAGCAGCAGGTGCGTTTCCCTCCCTGCGTCAAGAAGGCAATATTAAATATGCCAGTGCAGCTTTCCTGGGTGTGCTGGTATCGACTTGGAATCCCGTGGCCTCCCTAGCTGTGTGACCTTGGCCCGGTGACCGTGACCTTGGTCTCCTCAGCTTGCTGGTGGCAGTCATTGCAGCTGCCTTTGGGGGGAGGAGGGGAGTCGGGGACCCCACGGGAGAACGCCCGCCTGATTCTAAATGACTGCCAAGTGCGCTCGGTCACTGCCTTTGACAGCTCTGTTCCCTGTTCCCTCAGCGCGGCATTCCCCTGGGGGAGCAGCTGCAGGCGGTTTTGGGGAGCGCTGCCTGCCAGCGAGTGCTGGGCCTGCGGGCCTCGGCGCCCTCGGGAGCCTGGGACAGGCCGCCCTGCGCCCCTGCTCCTTTCAGAGCTGGGCCGACGGCGAGACGAGGGACTGAGGACGCGAACGCTCCCGGGGAGGAGAGCGCACGGCCCCCCGCGGGAGGGCCCCCCGCAGCCCTCGGAGAGAGGGACACCGCGCCCCAGAGCCTGCCTCTCCCCGGGGGGGAGCTGGACCTCCAGCTGGCGGCGTCTTTCCTACCAAGGACAGCGAGTGCCAGCCCCGGGGCCCCCGGCCCCGAGCTGCTGCCCATCCTCCAGGACGTGTGCGGTCAGGTGCGCCGTCTCCGCGGGGCCCAGGACGCCATGTGGCCGGGACACGTCCCCACACCCATCGAAGGAGGCCTGGGTGCCGGGTGAGTGTCCACGGGGACTCGGCGGAGGGGGCTGACGTGGACACTGACATGGACACAGCAGGCTGCTGGCTGCAGGCTGGCTGTCTAGGTGGCTGTTTGGTTACCGTTTTCGCATGATGGTTGTGTTTGGTCTTTCCCTTCGCTCGTAGGATGGGAGAGCAGCCCGCCTGCTCCTACCTGGAGAGGATTCTGTCTAAGAAGCTGGAGCTGATGGAGAGGAGGCTGATGGACCACCTGGAGGAGCGGCTGCGCGCCCTGCAGGAGCACCTCGACCGCCAGGTGGCGCTGCTGGCGCGCTCGCTGCACAGCCCAGGCTCCCCGCCCCTGTCCCCGCCCCCGGGGATGCAGCTCCCCCACTGTGACTCCAGGGACACACTCTCCAATGGGGAGAGATAGGCGCTGGGGGCGCCGAGCACGCAGACATTGTGACCTATTTATTACCGCGCAGCCCAAAGCTGGGCAGGTGTTTCTGTCAGTGAGGATCAGCATCCTACTTGCATCAAGTGACCTCAGCGTTCGTCTCCCTGTGCTTGTGACGTGCCCCCGTGCCCCCGTGACGTGACCCTGGGCTGCTCCTGAGCGCGGATGACCTTCCTGTGCTTACGACGTGACCCCGTGACCCTGTGCCTGAGTGTGCCTGATCAGGTCAGGACTTTTGTTTGCAGAGTTGGTTGCTCTCTCAGAATTGTACACATAGTTCTGTGTTTACGACTTTAAATATTTAAGGATTGGGAGTTCAGTTCATCAGTGTGTATTGTGACTGTATTTGAAGTACGCAGTGTTTTATATAAAGGACTTATATTTTAGGGATATGGGGAAAATGGTTAGGGATTTTCTTTTCTTAATTGTTTGTCTCAGTAAGAAACTAGTTGCGTTTGGCATTTGTACATTAGTGTCCCGTAGGCCATTAGTTTTGCGTTCTTTCTTACTGTTGCTGCAGAAGGAAAGTAAAACCTACACGGCCGCTTTGTTAGAATTATTTAGGGTTAGTGGCTGACACAAAGCAAGAGGATATCCTGTGTCCCCTTGCCGCGCCGAAGCCGGGTCCTCCCAGCCCCTGTGCTCGGTGTACGCGTTGGGTGAGGCGTGTGGCAGCATGTGCTGATGGCGGTGTATCTGCATCCGAGAATGAGTGCGTCTGCTCTGGACCCAGTGAAATGGGAATAAAGTGGTGGTGCTCTGGACATGATGTCCCAACACAGCCTGGTCTGTGCGAGCTGTGTCCGTGTCCCCGCTCTTTCTGCTGTTGCGTTCTGTCTTAAACAGGAAGAATGGCCGTGTCCCCACGTCGTTACGGCCCCAGTAAATGTGAAAACCCCGCCCCTTCCTTCCCTCCCCTCCTTCCCTTCCCTGTCTTGGTGCTGAGGGCCGTCATATTCAGGCAGCACAGTCGTGCACACTGCACGCTGAGGAACGGCACCCTGGGTGGTTTTGTCCAATTGTGAATATGACGGTGCACCTACACATGCCTGACGGCACAGCCTGCTGCCCACCTGGGCTCCGTGGTCCAGCCTGTGGCCTGTTACACACCTGTGCAGTGTGTTCCTGTGCAAAACAACACGAGACTAGATCAAGGGGAGAAAATGATGCAATCAAGAGACTCAGTAAACAACAAACAAGTGGCTGCTGCCGGCGTAACGTGGCTGCTCTTTCGTATCAAACTTTCTTTAGAAAGAGCACACTCTAAAATAATGATTAAAAGTATGACATAGGCCCAGCTGGCATGGCTCAGTGGTTGAGTGTGGACCCAGGAAGGCACAGTTCAATTCTCCGTCGGGGCACATGTCCAGGTTGCGTGCTTGACCCCCTATGTGGGACTTGCAGGAGGCAGATGATCAATGATTCTCATTGTTGATTTTTCTGTGTCTCCCTCTCCCTTTCTTTCTGAAATCAATAAAAATCCTAAATAATAAAAGCCTAATGTGCTAAGTGTCCGGTTGTCTGTGCAACCAATTAAACAGAGTATGCTAATGTATGCTAAAGCCTCTCAACTGCTGACTATGACATGCACTGACTTCCAGGGGACAGATGCTCTGACCGGTAGGTTAGCTTGCTGCGGGGGTCAGGCTGATCAGGTCTGAGCAAGATGGGCCAGACATACCTGGAGTCCTCCCGCAGTCCCTGCCCGGTTGGCCAACCTCCCTCCCGATTGTGCACCAGTGGGGTCCCTCAACCTGGCCTGTACCCTCACAATCTGGGACCCCCTCGGGGGATGTCAGAAGCCCGTTTTGACCCAACTGTGGAATGACTGGTTGCTATGACACGCACTGACCACCAGGGAGTAGACGCTCAGTGTAGGAGCTGCCCCCTGGTGGTCAGTGTGCTCCCACAGGGAGAGCACTGCTCAGCCAGAAGCCAGGGTCACGGCTGGCGAGTGTAGTGGTGGTGGTGGGAGCCTCTCCCACCTCCACAGCCGGCAGTCGGACGTCCCCTGAGGGCTCCGGACTGTGAGAGGGTGCAGACTGGCTGCAGAGGTACTTGTGTACCTCAAGTGCATGAATTTTGTGTACCAGGCGTCTAGTATATTAAACAAGTATCCTACATAATTCTATATAATAAAAGCATCGTGTGCAAATCGGCCAAATGGTGAAATGACCAGTCGCTATGACAAGCACTGACCACCAGGGGGCAGATGCTGAATTCAGGAGCTGCCCCCTGGTGGTCAGTGTGCTCCCACAGGGGAGCACCACTCAGCCAGAAGCCAGGCTCACAGCTGGTGAGCGCAGGGGCGGCGGTGGTGGGAGTCTCTCTCCCTTCAGCCACAGGTGGGTGGTAAGGAGCGAAGGGTTCTGCCTGGGAGAGGCCCAGTCTGCAAGAGGGATGTCTGACTGTGGGATTAGGCCCAACCCCCAAGGGGGAGTGGGCCTATGCCAGCAGGCAGACATCCCCCAAGGGGTCCCAGACGGCGAGAGGGCGCAGACCAGGCTGAGGGAACCCCAGTGCATGAATTTCGTGCACCAGGCCTCTAGTGTATTAAATAAACAACTACTATTAATAAACACAGCAGTCAGTAATAGTCATTTATTTTCATTATCAAGTACTATGTACTGTGCACAGTCATGTGCTGTACTGTTATGCACCTGGAAAAGCGGGTTTGTTCACACCAGCATCGCCACTGATGTGAATAATCACCACGACGTGGTAGGAATTTCTCAGCTTCATTATCATCCAGATCACCATTGGGCATGTGGTTCATTGATTATCTTTTTTAGAGAAAGTGGAGGTGGGGGAGAGAGAGAAACACTGATGTGAACGAGACATATTGATTGGTTGCCAACTGAGGCCACCGAGGTTCGTGCCCTTGACACGGTCGCACCTGGACCCTTCATCCACGCCCATGCTCTAACCACTCAGTCAAACCAGCTGGGGCTCGCACTGAGCTTTTACTATTAGAGTTTTCAGCCTCCCCTCATTTCTGTCTTTTAATTGTAATATTGCAATCTTAAACTTGCTTTTGGTCAACAATCAAATTCTGAAAATAAGGGGAAATACGATCTGAAAAGGCAAAAACTTAAGTGATTCAAAGTAGCATGTCTACTTCCTGGGAGCCGAGCTCCAGGTACAATGGGACAGAATTCAGAACCCCCGGGCGGAGCGGGGCAGAGCGGCGTGTCACAGCCCGCGCGGAAGGTGGAGCGGGGCCGTGGCTGGGCCAACGACCTGAGCTCTTCAGTCTGGGACCGAACTCACAGGATGAACCGATAGCTCCCTCCGCTCCGCACAGGCTCGCCCCTCCCGGCCTTTCACTCCGTAAGGTCCCGTGTGGTACCACACGATGGGTTTGACCAAATGACCGTTTCCTACGGTCTTTAAATACATGTTTTTTTCTAGTTGGCTGCCAGCCATACCTGCGGATGTTTGGCAGGCATGTTGTCGTTTTTTATACATTTTTTAAAATTGATTTCTGAGAAGGGAGAGGGGGAGAGAGAGAAACATCAATGAGAGAGTCATCCATCAGCTGCCCCCTACTGGGGATTGAGCCCACTTCCCGGGCATGAGCCCTGACCTGGAGTCAACCATTGAACTGATTCAGGGATGACCCTAAGCAGCTGAGCCACACCTGTTGGGCAGCTACCATATTGCTTATTCTTTCTTCCTGGGTCATAGTTCTCATGTCAGTGTTCAATCAGACCAATTGCTTATTCCAACCAAATGGAATTTGCTGTGAAGATTTGGGAGGAAAGATGGCAGAAAGGCCCACTATCTCCCAATGATGAGGGCTCCTAAAATCTCCTTAAGCCATGAGGACAGTAAAGGCCTTTTTCCAGAAAACAGCACAAGCGGGGTTGCTTGTGCTGAGCTGGGAAAGGAGCCGCATCCTTAGTTCTGTTCTCAGAACAATTTAAGTTTGACGAGCAGCAAGGGGCAGTCCTGACTCAGCGAGGGCATGTCAAGAGACCAGGCCTTGGGAGTGAAACCATGTGTGGCTTGTTTGTTACTCACCGCCAGCTGCACGTTACTGCCTGCGAGAGGGAGAAAGCCCTTCCCACCGTCTGTTTCCTTCCTTTGCCTTTGCATTTCAGTCCCTTTTCCTCCGCGTGGCCGGGCGGCTGGGCCCCTCGGCTGCCCTGGGAGATGCGTCCGTGTTTTGCAGGCAGGAGGCTCTGTGGCGGGGCTCCTTCCTTCCTGGGAGGAGGACAGAGGCTGCGCCGGGCTGAGGGCAGGGAGCCACGGTCTCACCTGCACTGCTCTGCCCAGGCGCCTGTAAGATGCTTGACATCAAGATTATGACGGCCATCGGGGTTGGCTTGCTGATCGCCATAGTCCTGCTGATGTTCTGTGTCACCAGCCTCCTCTTCAAACTGACCGGCATGTTGAAGTGAGTGACGTGGAAGGGTGGCCGCCCACTGGCACAGGCACCGGGGCCAGCCGGAGCCCCGCCGCCCGGCCCTGGGCCGCCCCGGGGGGCAGGCGCGGGGCAGCAGGAGGAGGCAGAGGCGGGTGAGCGCGGAGTCCTGGCCACTTCCCCGCGGGAAAGGGCTGGGCCTCGAGCTCACAGGGAGGTTGTAGGAAGGGAGGCTCCAGAGCCCGGGGTCGCTGAGGGGCGCCCGCCCACCCGGGCTCCGCAGTTGGGGCCTCAGCCCCCGGGCCCCCTCTGGGCCGGGTCTGACCTGGCTGCCGGCGCCTTGGAGCACGTGACCCAGAGCCTGGGCCAGGGCAGAGCTGTCCTCGCAGCGGGGCCCCGGACCTGCGGTTCCGACGCGGCCACGGCCGGGCCGGAGGTTTCTAACCGCCTGTGTTCTGTCTTTCCTTAAGAGCTCCGAAGCTTCCGGTGTGTCTGGTCTTAAAAAGTTACCCATCCATGGTCACCAGGGACAAGATCACGGCGGCCTCATCCCTCACGGCCAGCTGCCTCCCCGACCTCCAGATCCTCGACGAGTGCCAGCTGTGCGCCGACTCCAAGCCCCTGCCGCCCGGCTTCTGCGACGTGACCGAGGGGCTCTGACGCGGCAGCACAGCGCCCGCGGAGCGGCCTTTTGTAGAGAATGTTTTATTCCAGATGTTTATCGTGTTCCCCTTGTATGTGCCTCCGGACGTTCGTGTGCTTTTGAATAAAAGCAGAATTGAAAGAACCTCCAGCCTTGGGGATGTTTGATGTCGTTAGTGATCCATGAACTTGAACTTGGAGGCGTGGAGCGACCGGCTTGTGGCGTCGAGTCGCAGCGTCAGGCGGGCGACAGTCAGGACTACAAAGGCACGTGGACTGTGACAGGGCAGCACTGTGCTGAGTGCTTGGGATGAAAACCAAAAGCACCAGAAAGCTGATTCTAGACGAAAGCTTCCCAGCAGCCTTGGTGACGGGGAAATGTGTCTCCGGAGGAGACAAACGTTCCGGCGGAAGGCCTGCTGGGATTTGGTTGCGTGGCGCGCCCGAGACCCTGCGATTGGGCTCGACAAGGACTCAGGAGATTCCCAGCCGTGGCCGTGCTGACTGGAGGGCCCGCCGTCTGTCCAGGCGTCTGTCTCTCCCGGCCCCAAGCCCGATGCTGGCTCGGAGGGATAGGGTCTCCGTAGGGGGACCCTCCCGGGCAGCACCGGCTCCTCAGGGCAGGGGCGGGCACGGCAGGTCCAGGTCAGCAGGAGGGGTAGGGGGAGGGGAGAGTCCTGGGCACAGGGCAGGGGAGCTGTGGACGAGGCAGAGATGACACCTGGCCAGAGAGGGGCTGCCGGGCTCACCCCCAGGCCTGGGACCAGCTGCTCGCTGCCAGCAGAGACGCGATCCGAGTCCTAACTGCGGACTGCACGGCCCAGCAGGGAAGCCACCAACACGCTCCACTCGTGCTGGCAAACGCTCCGTGAGATGCTGACGCTGCTGCCCGACTCAGTTTCCTTCCCAACACGTGCGGGAGTTGCGAGCGCTGCTTTCCACCACTGGCATCCACGTGCGTCTGTGGTCCGTGTGCTGAGCTGGTGACATGGCTGCCACGTCAATGAAGACACTGCACACCGGAGGCTGCAAAACTGAACTGACGGGACAGAACTCTCCAGAAGGATAAAGGAAACACACCTGTAGCTACACCTGCTGTGAACGCCCCCAACCACTAGCCACGTCCGCTGCCCGTGTCCCCTGCACAGGACCAGGAAGTAGAGCGGGTTCCCACGCTGAGACCCACGGAAAATAAAGCACTTCTACTCACTCACGTGGTTTCCAAAACGGACGCATTTAATTCCGGATACAAATACAGCACCTTCAGCACAGGCACAGCTCCGCCTCCTGACACGGCCACACCGAGCATTGCCGTCTCCTCCACACCCGCCCGCAGTGTGAGCCCGGGACTCCGCCGCCAGGGCTCGCAGTGCAGATAAACAAGGTAACGTCCCGCTTCCCGGCCCACACAAATCCACAGCGACGGCTCCACGGGGAAGCGGCCTTCCTGCCTGTCACCGCGGCACTGGGAGCCGGCGCCAGGGTCCCGTCTGCAGGGCCGCCTGCTGTGCTCAGGGCAGTAGCACCGGTGCGGGTCCACGGGCACAGAGGTCCGACTTCGCAAGAGAATCAGAGAGAAACCGTCACCAAGTCCTCTGAGCGCCGTTCCTCTCCCCACTAAGACGAGGAAGGAAGGCCTTTCACAGACAAAAACACACTCTGTCACACACCCTGCGGGAGTCCTTAACCGTCCCAAACACTGGAAATGCCGCCGGGGACACAGATCTGTGTCGGAGCGAACACTGCAAACAAACAACTCCTGGCCCGACCAGGCACACACTCAAGCACAGGGGCACGTCACGGGGGCACGCGGGCACGTCACAAGCACAGGGAGACGAACGCTGAGGTCACTTGATGCAAGTAGGATGCTGATCCTCACTGACAGAAACACCTGCCCAGCTTTGGGCTGCGCGGTAATAAATAGGTCACAATGTCTGCGTGCTCGGCGCCCCGAGCGCCTATCTCTCCCCATTGGAGAGTGTGTCCCTGGAGTCACAGTGGGGGAGCTGCATCCCCGGGGGCGGGGACAGGGGCGGGGAGCCTGGGCTGTGCAGCGAGCGCGCCAGCAGCGCCACCTGGCGGTCGAGGTGCTCCTGCAGGGCGCGCAGCCGCTCCTCCAGGTGGTCCATCAGCCTCCTCTCCATCAGCTCCAGCTTCTTAGACAGAATCCTCTCCAGGTAGGAGCAGGCGGGCTGCTCTCCCATCCTACGAGCGAAGGGAAAGACCAAATACAACCATCAAGCGAAAACGGTAACCAAACAGCCACCTAGACAGCCAGCCTGCAGCCAGCAGCCTGCTGTGTCCATGTCAGTGTCCACGTCAGCCCCCTCCGCCGAGTCCCCGTGGACACTCACCCGGCACCCAGGCCTCCTTCGCTGGGCGTGGGGACGTGTCCCGGCCACGTGGCGTCCTGGGCCCCGCGGAGACGGCGCACCTGACCGCACACGTCCTGGAGGATGGGCAGCAGCTCGGGGCCGGGGGCCCCGGGGCTGGCACTCGCTGTCCTTGGTAGGAAAGACGCCGCCAGCTGGAGGTCCAGCTCCCCCCCGGGGAGAGGCAGGCTCTGGGGCGCGGTGTCCCTCTCTCCGAGGGCTGCGGGGGGCCCTCCCGCGGGGGGCCGTGCGCTCTCCTCCCCGGGAGCGTTCGAGTCCTCAGTCCCTCGTCTCACCGTCGGCCCGGCTCTGAGAGGAGCAGGGGCACAGGGCGGCCTGTCCCAGGCTCCCGAGGGCGCCGAGGCCCGCAGGCCCAGCACTTGCTGGCAGGCAGCGCTCCCCAAAACCGCCTGCAGCTGCTCCCCCAGGGGAATGCCGCGCTGAGGAACAGGGAACAGAGCTGTCAATGGCAGTGACCGAGCGCAGTTGGCAGTCATTTAGAATCAGGCGGGCGTTCTCCCGTTGGGTCCCCGACCCCCCTCCACCCCCCAAAGGCAGCTGCAATGAGGAGACCAAGGTCACGGTCACCGGGCCAAGGTCACACAGCTAGGGAGGCCACGGGATTCCAGTCCGGGCTCTTATCACCTGACTGGTCTTTCCTCCAGAAAATACTAAAGTCGATACCAGCACACCCAGGAAAGCTGCACTGACATATTTAATATTGCCTTGTTGACGCAGGGAGGGAAACGCACCTGCTGCTGGAATCTGACCATACTCATCAGCTGCTGAGCCCCCGGGGACAGCGTGGACCCCATGGCCGCCAGCAGGCTGTGGACCCTCTCCAGGTCCACCCTGGGCCCCGGGGCAGCAGAGCTGGCGGGAGGCTTGGCCAGGCTGGGCCGCACGTGCACCACCACCTGGCTGACGAACACACGCGGCTTTTCCCCGAAGGAGAGCAGCTGCAGAAAACACAAGTTCGGGAAAGTAACCATGTGGAGCCAAATCTTACTGCAGGTCACTTCCTGCTGTTACCTAGGTAACAGGAAGCCGTCAATAGTCTACAAGTTCACTTCCGTTTCGCTAGAATAGTGAAAGTCTGACCAATACTCAACCATTTAAGTAAGAAAATTACTTCCACACTAAACAATCACACGTAAAATAAGTTTTACATGCTTAGGTGATTGTCCTGGTCTACAATCCCCTCCCTGGGTCTTATTCTCAGGATTTTGGTCCCAAATCTGCTTGTGGTTTTCTTGGCACCTAACTTTTATGTCAAAATAAAAATGATTTTTAACTGAGTCTCTCAAAGCCGGAGAGCACAGCAGCATTAACTGTGTTAACCTAGTCCGTGGCCTGGCATGGCCGGAGCTAACACATGGGCCGGTTTTAAGGGAGAACATCGAGAATCACTAACCCACATAACATGAATGTGCACCGAACAAAACAACTGCAGTTTCCAACTTATCTAAGATCTAGTCACGACTCACCTTTATTTTACACGCACGGGCAGCGGGCTCCAGTCTTAGAAAATTTCTGTATAAAATAATTTTTTCTTGTTCGCTGAAAAGAAAAAATAAATATGGACTTTTTTTTTTCACACGTTATCACTCTTTAAAATTGAGAAATTATTTTAAATGTTTAAAATGTGTTCCCGGGAGAGGAAGGGAGAGAGAGAAACGTCAATGAGAATCCCTGATGGGCTGCCTCCTGACTGCCCTCTACTGGGGATGGATCCAGCAACTCAGGCATGTGCCTGACCAGGAACCCAACTGTGACCTCCCAGCCTTGGTGGACCGATGCTCAACACTAGCCACGTCCGCTGGGCACATGATCACGGAGCATGGTCACATTTAGAGTTAAGGGTTCCAGGACAGTGCTTCTCCATGAGCTGGGAGAGGGCAGTGAGGAGGCAGTCCATCAGGGATTCTCTCTCATCATTGATGCTTCTCTCTCCCACTCCCTTCCTCTGAAATCAAAAAGCATAGCTCCCAGGTAGGCGTGCGGGATGGCCGTGCTGGGTGCCTGCCCTGTCTGCAAAGGGCTTCCTTCAGGAGGCATGTTCAAAGCCCCAGGCTGATGGTCAGATACTGTTGGATACGGACCAGGCGCTGGCTGGGACCCTCCCCAGCTCACCCCCCTCCCACCAGCCGTCAGGTTCCAGTTGCTAAGGCAACAGGACTGACCCAGACTGTGCCCAGGACCCCGGCCTGCACTCCCAGGTGCTGGTGTGTTTCTAGCCCTCCCACTCCGGTCTGAGGCCAATGTCAGAGAAGCAAGAGGTATTGCCAGAGCTGGGCCCACAGAAACCCTCCTCAGAAGCACCCTGCACGCTGAGTCACAAACCTGGAGTCCAGCACATCACCAACACTCCTGCCCCTACTGGTGCCACAGTACTCCTCGGCCAAGTACACTTCCATGTTTCTCGCTGAACTTAAAATGCCCACAGACACGATCTCTTCACCTCCCCTCGGGGTGCAGCTCAGGGAGAGGACGCAGGGCTTTCCCTCGGGGCTCCTGGGACTCCTTTGCAGACTCACCAGGTCGCGGCTGAGGAGGAAGTGACAGGATCACAGTGTGGCCTCGGCCCTGCTGCTGCCCACCGATCAGGCCCGGGGCTGACTCCCATTCACTTCCACTGGCCTCTGGGGTCACACCCCTTCCCAGCAGCCAACACATGCTCAGCAGGTTCACAGAGAAAGGGCGGTGCAGCCCCGGCCTGTCTCCTCAGCGGCGGCCTCAGCGCAGGGACTGAGGTCGCAGGTCCAGGGCATGGACCTTGGTTGCAGGTTCAACTTAGGCCCAGGTCAGGGTGGGAACAGGAGGCAACCATCTGCGTGTTTCTCTTTGACTCTCCCTCCCCTTCTCCCTCCCGCCATCCTCTCTCTAAACAAAACGGAAGGAAAGGAGACAATGGGAAACACCCTCCTCGGAGGAACGGGCATTCGGACCCCGGGGTTTCCTGCTCTCGCCCGGGATCAGGGACGTCTTCCTCCATCTCCCGCAGTGACCTCTCGGCTACCAGAAGGCTCAGGGGCCATGCTCTGTGCGGAGCGGGAGGAGGACAGGACAGAAGACAGAGGCCCTTCTCCCAGATTTCCAGGGGGGAGGCTCCCGAGGGATGGGACAGCGTCCGCCTCTGGGGCCCAGGAGGGCTTTGCTCGTGGGGGAGGCGGAGGCCGGGGCCAGGGGCCTTCAGAGCTGAGGGAGGACACGGGGGAGCGGCTGCCACCCTGAGGCCAGGCCCCCGCCCCGTGCCCGGCGCCCCGCCCCGCCCCTCGCGGGTCTGGCCGGTCCCCGCACAGCCCGGCCCCGGTGGGCTCCCGGACCCGGGCCGGACGCTCTCCCCTCCCGGCCCCACGTCCCCTCACACCTCCCCCCGGAGCGTGGCCGCCTCGGAGCCGCCCCCCGCCCGCCGGCCCCGCGCACCCCGAGGCAGGCGGCGCCAGCAGCTCCTCCCAGTCCGAGTCCTGGGCTCCGCGGACACGGAGGCTCCGGCCCAGCGCCCCGCACGCGGCGTCCCAGGAGGAGGCCAGCGTGGGGTGTCCGGCCGACCGCTCGTCCTCAGGCTCAGTCTCCATTGGCCCCCGCCAGGGCCGGCCGGCCCGGAACCTCTCTTCGGAGCTCCGGTTTCCGGCGGGGCGGAGGGAGAGTGGAAGGCAGGGAACGACGCCCAGCAACTTCCGGCTCGACTTCCGGCTTGACCTGAAGGGAGAGAACCGATTTTAACAGTGGCGCATGCGCGTCCCGGCCGGCTTCAGACCTGGGTCCAAAGCCCCCCCAGACCTTCGGGGCGGCGCATGCGCACTGACCGCTCCTCGGCCTCCCGCGGCGCTCTGCGCAGGCGCGGTGGAGGCGCGCGGGAGCCGGTGGTTCGGGGCGGCAGCGGGCAGCGGCGCGCGGAGGCGGCGCCGGGGCGGCTCCTCGGGGAAGAGGTCCATCCCCGCCGGCTGGCGGCGGGCGTCCGGGCGGCACTGTGGACGGCACCGGGGCGGGCCCTCCCTCCTCCCCCTCTGCCCGCGCGGCCTCCCGGGCGGAGTCACCGCGCGGCCCGCAGTGCCGGCCGCGGGGCCCGCGCTCCTGCCTCCGGGGGAGGAGGAGCCCGCGGGCCGGGGGTCAGGCCGAAGCGCGGCCGCTGCTGCCGGCGGGTCCGTTCCCGGGGGCCCCGGGGCTGCCCGAGCCCGCGGTCCCGGGTCCGGGATGGCACCACCGGCCCTTGTCTGCCTGCGCCCCCCGGCTGATGCCCGGTGCCCTCCCCGCTGGCCGCTCGGCCCTCCCGCCCGCGGCCTCCCGGGAGCCTGGGCCCGGCCGCCCGCCTGGCGCTCCCGGGGGGGCTGCCCGGACCCCGGGCGGCTGCGCGGCGAGACCGGCCACCCAGGCGCCGGAGGGGCCGCTCCCAGGGGCCCCGGCCTCCGGGGACGTGGATGCCACGCGGGACGGGGAGGGGGCAGGGAGGCCGGGCGGCCGTGAGGACTCACACCCGGAGGGGAGGTGCAGGGAGGAGGGGGCGGACCCGCCCATCCAGGCGGGGAGAGCGGCTTCTGCTTACACACACGGACCCCAGAGAGGGCGAGAGGCCTCGGGGTGAGGGAGAAGCACCGACCAGCTGCCTCCCGCACGGCCCTCACCGGATGGAGCCGCAGCCCGGCCCAGCCCGGACCCCAATGGAGCTGGACCTCCTGGTTCCCAGGGGGACGCTCAGCCCCGGAGCCCGCTCCCAGCCGAAAAGGTGCCACCCCTGCCAATCTCTGCTGCCCCCCACCCCACGCTTCCGTGGCCACAGGCGGGGAGTGACCTGGAATGCTGGGTGCAGGGCTCTCCATGGTATCTTTTACTTCCTGTTAGTGAAGCAGCATTGCAGTTAAAGTGTAGTTTTGGTTTTTGATAATTGCAGTGTTCACTCGCTTTAGGAGGTTATATTTACAGGGTTTCTAATGTACTTCAGTAAATATGAAATTATGAAAAAATCTCTTTCTCGTTGGCATCTTTTATTTTTGTTTTATTGAAATTATGGGGGGTGGACACGTTGGTTAATGAAATGATATAGCTTTCAGACCTACAGTACTACACAATCCGTAAATTATATTGTGTATTCACCACCCAAAGTTGACAAAATTTAACATCCATTCAAGATAAGATGGCAAATTAGGAATAGAGGGGACCTTTTTAAACAAAAAGTCATCATATACCTTATGCTTTCTACACAAATTAAAGGAACATGACGTATAGACCTAAATGTAAAATATAAAACAGAAAAAAAAGAGAATTTGTGTGACCTTGGATTTGGCAATGACATTTTTAAAATATATTTTTTTACAAAGAGGAAGGGAGAGGGATAGAGAGTTAGAAACATCGATGAAGAGAGAAACATCCATCAGCTGCCTCCTGCCCACTCCCTATTGGGGATGTGCCCACAACCAAGGTACATGCCCTTGACCAGAATTGAACCTGGGACCCTTCAGTCAAAGCTCTATCCATTGTGCCAAACCGGTTAGGGCGGCAGTGATCATTTTTGATATGCACCAAAAAGATAATCCATGAAAGCAAGAATGTGGTAACTTGGAACTTACCTTCATGGGAGATACTCATAAACGAGACCCACCGCTCTCTGCCAAGTGCTGGTCCGAGCTGAGTGCTGCAGAAGGACCATCTGCACCACTGCAGGTGAGGGAAACCTGAGCATGCCCCCGCCCGCCCGCCCCCCTCCCGTACCTCCTCCCTGCGCTGTCACCCACAGCCTGTAGGACTGCGCCCTGCCCTGCCTCAGACACCGCAGCCCAGGGGTTGCTTCTGCTCACTGACGGTCTCCAGATGCTCCCGAGCATACAGTGCCGAGGTGGTTTAGGGGGAGACACAAGGGTGGACAGACCGGAACTCTGTTCTCCCTCCCTCCCTCACGCCTGCTCCAGCGCCCCGGCCTCCAGGGACACTCGGTGCCGGCCTCCTGGGTTTCTGTGAGGAACCAGCAGGGGCAGACGGGTTCCCTGTTAAAGACGCTGGGGAGGAAGCGCTACCTGGGCCTCGTTCCCGGAGGACAGTCCCCCCGACCCCCAGGCTCTGCCCCGGAATCGCACGCCTACTGCGTAGCAGGCACCAAGGATTTGCCTACGGAGCCACATTGGCATTCTTGCTTGTCAGCCCACAACTCGGGCCTGTGCCCTGACCGGGCATCGAACCGTGACCTCCTGGTTCATAGGTTGACGTTCAACCACCGAGCTACACCGGCCGGGCTTACGCCACTATTTTTTTTCTTAAATATATTTTATTAATTTCTTAGGAAGAGAGAGGGATAGAGAGTCAGAAACATCGATGAGAGAGAAACATCCATCAGCTGCCTCTTGCACGCCCCCTACTGGGAATGTGCCCGCAACCAAGGTACATGCCCGTGACTGGAATCGAACCTGGGACCCTGGAGTCCTCAGGCCGACGCTCTATCCACTGAGCCACCCCGGTCAGGGCTGTCCTTGTATTTCATTCAGAACACAAATTTGCTTTTGACCAACAGTCAAACCTTAAAAGGCTCTCCGAGGGGCCCAGCGCCCGGAAGGGGAGGTGGAGTGACCCACGGTGGTGATTGGCGATCAGGTCCCCAGGGTGCTCACAGCGGAATTTGGAACTGCGGGCGAGGCTGCCTCCAGTGTGATGTCACACAGCCCCGGCCCAGTGAGCATGGAGGGTGAGCGGGACAGCGGCTGTCCATTCTGCCGCTCCGGTGGGGCCGAGAGCGCTCCAGACCGACCCCTGAGCCGCCCCCGAGGACAGTCAGAGGCTCCTTTCTCAGCGGAGGGGCTTGAGGCATTCCCGACGAGATGTGCTGGGCCCTGAAGTTCGCGTTAGCCGTGTGCTTCCTCCTCTGTCGGCACCCACCCTGCGGGGGCGACTCGGACGGCACAGACAGTACGTGGCTCCCGAGGGTGCTGTTCTCTCCGCCCTCCGGTGCCGGGCTGGGAGCCTGGGCTCAGGCCAGACAAGCTGGCTGCCCGGGTGGGGCGGGGGCAGGTGTCGGGGGAGAAGGGAAACCTCTCCTAAAACACGGTCTCAGAAGGATGGTGTGCGCTCGTCTTATCGGGTGTAACAGTTTCAAAAGCGATTCTCCTCGTCCTTGCACAGGAGATGCTTACGGCTCACGTACGGTGAGCGGCTCGTCGCTCTGACTCCGAGCGCGTCTTAGGCCCAGGTGCTGGGAGTAAAGCACCTGCTCACCTTTGTTCCTCCCTTAGCTCCGGGCCTCTTGTGAGAAGGAGGGCGAGCCCTTCTTCCCTCCTTCTTTTCTTCCTCCCTCCCTCCCTCCCTCCCTTCCTCCCTCCCTCCCTCCCTTCCTTCCTTCCTTCCTTCCTTCCTTCCTTCCTTCCTTCCTTCCTTCCTTCCTTCCTTCCCCCCTCCCTCCCTCTCTTCATCCCTCCCTCCCTCCCTCTCTTCATCCCTTCCTCCCTCCCTTCTTTCCTCCTTCCTTCCCCCTCCCTCCCTCCCTTCCCCCTCCCCCCTCCACCCTTCCTCCCTCCCTCCCTCCCTCCTTTTCTCCCTCCCTCTCTCCATCTCTTCCTCCCTCCCTTCTTTCCTCCTTCCTTCCCTCTCCTTTCCCCCTCCCTCCCTCCCTCCCTCGCCCCTCCCTCCCCCCCTCCCTCCCTCCCTCCCTCCCTCCCCCCTTCCTTCCTTTCCTCTGGGTGATGCACGTGTGTCTCCCAGGCCTCCCTGGCCCCTCGGCCCTGTTTCCCCGCAGAAGGCTCTGTGGTTTGGGGTTCACTCTTCCTTCCCGGGAGCAGCGCACAGAGGCGGCTGCTGGGCTGTGGGGGGAGGGGGGAGGGGAGCCTGTTCACTGCCCACCTGCCTGTCTCCTCCAGGTAAGCTTTCTCAGATCAACTCCATAGTCATGATCAGCATCGGCGCCGGGATCCTGGTGGCCCTGCTGGCGCTGATATGCGTCACCAGCTGTCTTTACTTCAAAGTGGCCAAGGCATTGAAGTAAGTGACGTGTAAGAGCTCGCACGGGCACCTGGGGGTCAGGCGCGGGGCAGCTGGGAGGAGGCTGAGGCAGGGGAGCACGGAGTCCTGGCCGCTTTCCTGCGGGGCTGGGCCGTGAGCTCACAGGGAGGTTCCTGGCAGCGGCTAGGGTCAGCGCTGTCCGCTGCCCAGGGCCTCGGGGAGCTGCCCTCCGCGGGGACTCACCTGGCCGGCCCTGCCTGTGTCCCGGGCGCGGCAGAGGAGACCGGGGCAGGCGCGGCCTCTGCCTCAGTTCCCCCAGAGGCCGGCTCGCTTGGTCTCCCTGCCCGAGCCGAGAGCTCCTGGGGTTCCCTCCTGCATTGCCCGTGGCCTTGGGGCAGGGAGGTGCCTGGAGGAGTGGGGGGCGGAGCTGTCCAACAGCCAGGGGACAGGAAAGGGGGGGAGCTCAGACAGGTCACTCCGTTGGCGGGAGAGGACCCTTCAAGCGCAGGCGCTCTGTTATAGGAAGGCCGTGCACTGGGTCAGCTCCAGAGCCGGGCTGCTGACGGGCGCCCGCCCACCCGGGCTCCGCAGCTGGGGCCTCAGCCCCCGGGCCCCCTCTGGGCCGGGTCTGACCTGGCTGCCGGCGCCTGGGAGCACGTGACCCGGAGCCTGGGCCAGGACAGAGCTGTCCTCGTAGCGGGGCCCCCGGACCTGCGGCCACAGCCGGGCCGGAGGTTTCTAACCGCCCGTGTGTCCGTCTCTCCTTAAGGACTTCGAAACCGCCTTTTTGTTTGGCCTTAAAAAACCACCCGTCCATGGTCAATCAGGACAAGATCACCGCCTCATCCGTCACCGCCAGCTGCTACCCCAACCTCCAGTTCTGTGAGGAGTGCCCCTTGTTCACCGACTTCGACTCCCTGCCGCCGTGCCTCTGCGACGTGAACGAGGGCCTCTGACGGGGGCACGGGCCCTCTGGCCACCTCTTTCTTAGTAGAATGTTTTGTTGTTCCAGTCAGGTTTGTGTTGTGTATATTATGTACCGTGTAACGTATTTATGGGCTTTTGAGTAAATGCAGTATTGAACCAACCCTCTCCGGCCGCAGCAATGCTTTTGATGTTAGCTGCAAATGTTCTTAAAACTGTGTATTACCCACTTTGCAACTTGGCAACTAGCCAGTAAGGAGATTGAGAGTAGAATGGATTGATGAACGGATGGATGGATATATGGATGAATGGATGATTAATGGTGGATGGATGGACAAACAAATGGATGGATGGATGAACGGATGTGTGAATGGGTGGATGGATGGATGGATGATGGAGGATGGATGGATGAATGGATGGATGGATGAATGGATGAATGGATGGATGGATGGATGGATGGACGGATGGATGGATGAATGGATGGATGGATGAATGAATGGATGGATGAATGAATGGGTGAATGGATGGATGAATAGATGGACGAATGGATGGATGGATGGAGGGATGGATGATTAATGGATGAATGGATGGATGGATGGTTGATGAATGAATGGGTGAATGGATGGATGGATGGATGAATGGATAGATGGATGGGTGATTAATTGATGAATAGATGGATGGATGGATGATGAATGAATGGATAGATGGATGGATGGATGGGTAGATGGATGAATGAATGGGTGAATAAATGGATGAATGGATGGATGGATGGACGAATGGATGGATGGATGGATGCAAGCGGGCAGCCCCATGCTCCTCTTAAGCACAACTTCCCGAAGTCACAGGTGCTACACCTCCCACTACAGCACCAGTCTCACCTTGGAGACCAGGATTCCGTCCTCTCACCTGCCAAACACAGTGCCGGGAACTTGAATTCACCTGCTTCAGGCTCTCTGGACATGGCCAGCTAGAAATTAGTGGACGCTGAACCTCTTTCTTTTCCCCCTGCCCCTGTCCTGTGTCACCCCTCCTCTCCCTCGTGGTCAGCACCCTGGCAGCAACCAAGGGACCCAGCTGGACCCCAAGTTGGCTCAGGTGCCATTCCCACGCCCCAACTTGATTCTTTGGACCCTCACAGGCTCTGGTGTTTTGAGAAGGGCAGTGAAGGCGTCAGGGTCAATGCTGTTACCCCTCCATGATCTGAACACGTCACAGGGCACCGGCCGGATTCCCCGTCGGGGCCGGGCAGAGCTCCTGGTGCCATTGCGTGCCAGCCCCAGAGGCGCCTGGGAGGCGTTTTCGCGGGGTGCCGTGGCCAGGGTCTCCGGGCGAGGCCGAGGAGAGCACGCTCACAGAGAGGATGGCCGAGAACACGCGGCCACAGCTGCTGTGCTCACACCCATCGCCCTGATGCTGAGCAGCTGCAGACAATGATCAGGCGCTCGAGAGCGAAGAGTTTGAAAGCGCAACCACCTGATGTGCCAAACGCATCGCTTTACTGAGGAGGAGCACAGGATTGTGGGGGAACTGGAGAATTCACACCTCGACCTTGACCCGGTATGTCCCTCTGCGGATCTCCAGTGGCCCCAGCACCCGGAGAGGCCTGGCCTGCTCCCCCGCGGCCGCCACGGGGCCCACACCCCTGCGGCCCCGGCCCCGCCCGGCACAGCCCGGCGAGCAGCGGGAGGAGGGGTCGCCCGCCCTGCACACGGCGACCTCGCACCGCAGGTAGACCACCTCGTGGCCGGGCAGGATGCTGAAGGCGTTGAACTTGAACTGGGCCGTGTTCCTCTGGCGTGAGGGCAGGCTGACGTAGGTGTTGTCCGAGACGCATCTGGTGGGGAGGGCCCGCCCCGAGGGTTCGCGGGCGGACAGCACCGGTGAGCCACCCCGGCCCCCCCCACCAGGCTGGGACCCCGACCTCCGTCTTCAGACGGAGCCTTCCCACCTCCCCTTCTCTGTTCTCTGAGAAAATGTTTACTGCCCGGCCGGCGTGGCTCAGGGGTGGAGAATCAACCTACGAACCAGGAGGTCCCAGCTCAGTTCCTGGCCAGGGCACCTGCCCGGGTTGGGAGCCCCATCCCCAGCAGGGGGGTATGCAGGAGGCAGCTGACCAATGATTCTCTCTCATTGATGTTTCTCTCTCCCTCTCTCCCTTCCTCTTGGAAATCAATACAAATATTTTTTTAAAAAGGGTCGCTGAAACCGGTGTGGCTCAGTGGATAGAGCGTCAGCCTGTGGACTAAAATGTCCCGGGTTCGATTCCAGTCAAGGGCATGTACCTTGATTGCGGGCACATCCCCAGTAGGGGGTGTGCAGGAGGCAGCTGATGGAGGTTTCTCTCTCATCGATGCTTCTATCTCTCTCCCTTTCTGTAAAAAATCAATAAAATATATTTTTAAAAAGTAATAAAAAAATAAAAAAGGGTCTATCATTTCAAAACACGGTGTGCACGTGCTGCCAGCCATTGCCCAGGGGGTGTTTCTGACCCGAAGGCCCCTCCCCAGGGGCCGCAGGAAGCCGCCGTCCGCCCGGAGCCCGCTCCTTACCCTTGCCGGATCAGGTCGTGTGTGACGGTGGCAAAGTCACGGGGGTCCGGGGAAGCCACACAGGTGTCCACGGAGAGCCTCAGGCCGGGGTCGGGGGTGCGGAGTGTGGCCTGCAGGATCACCTCCTCCCTGGGGCCCCCGTCCTCCGGCCCCGCGCTCCCCGCAGGCAGGGCCACGGGCAGCTGCAGGAAGGCCACGGACACCTCGTAGGCGGCGCCGGGGACACGCTCGCCTGCCGACGGGGCGACCACGGAGCAGGTGAGCGTCAGCTGGGGCACCCGGTGCCGCAGGGCGACGTGGCCGCGGATGGCGTTGGAGAAGCTGAGGGAGCCGGGGCTTTCCTGGGGGGGGAGGGGCCGGTGAGGAGGAGGAGGCCCAGCCTGGCATCTCGTGCGGGACACGTCACGGGACGTGTGTGGAAACGTGGCTGGGATGACACACGCTGTGTCTGTGCCCTTGTTGCCTTCATGTCAATGAGTGTTTTTGACAGAAGCAGGTGGTTAAGGACAATGAGGTAAACATATGCATTTCATTGTACACACATGTCCGAGGTAGTTACTGTCCAGAATGGAAAACAGAGCCAGCTGCTGGGTTAGAAACACAGCAGACAGACAGACAGACAGGCCCAGGCCTCCCCAGCCCAGCAGCACGGCTTGCATGTGGCAGGTGGGACTAATCTCTATACATATAAAGGCCTAAATGACTGTTATGACTGAATGATGGAAATGACCAGATGCCTGGCTGGTAGCTATGACGTGTACTGACCACCAGGGGGCAGATGCTCAATGCAGGAGCTTCCCCTGGTGGTTAGTGTGCTCCCACAGCCAACCTCTGGCAGCCGGGCAACTCCCCATATTCCCTCCCCCGGCCAGCCGGCCCCAATCAGCCCTGATTGCCCCGATTGGGACTGGGTGAGGGACCACCTGTGCATGAATTCGTGCACCGGGTCTCCAGTACTGAATGAAGAAACATGTTGTAAAAATTACTCTGGCTTTGGAGCTAAAGGAATAGCTCCCATCCATCCATCCATTCATCCACCCATCCACTCTCCTATTCCCCCACTCCCCCATCCTCAATCCACCCCATCCATCCACCTCCCCCATTCATCCATCCACCCATCCTCACTCTCCCATCCCCCACTCCCCATCCACCCCCCCCATCCTCAATCCCCCATCCATCCACCTCCCCCATCCATTCATCCACCCATCCACTCTCCCATCCCCCCACTCCCCATCCACCCCCCCATCCTCAATCCACCCCATCCATCCGCCTCCCCCATCCATTCATCCACCCACCCACTCTCCCATCCCCCCACTCCCCATCCACCCCCACATCCTCAATCCCCCATCCATCCACCTCCCCCATTCATCCATCCACCCATCCTCACTCTCCCATCCCCCACTCCCCATCCACCCCCCCATCCTCAATCCCCCATCCATCCACCTCCCCCATCCATTCATCCACCCACCCACTCTCCCATCCCCCACTCCCCATCCACCCCCCCATCCTCAATCCACCCCATCCATCCGCCTCCCCCATCCATTCATCCACCCACCCACTCTCCCATCCCCCCACTCCCCATCCACCCCCACATCCTCAATCCACCCCATCCATCCGCCTCCCCCATCCATCCACCCATCCACTCACCTATCCCCCACCCACTCGTTCACCCATCCACCCCACCATTTACCCCTCATCCACCCACCAACCCCCACACCCCCACACACCCCCATCCAACCCCCATCCATCCACCTCCCCCATCCATTCATCCACCCATCCACTCTCCCATCCCCCCACTCCCCACCCCCCCATCCTCAATCCACCCATCCATCCACCTCCCCCATCCATCCACCACTCGTTCACCATCCACCCCACTAATTACCCCCCATCCACCCACCCCAGCACTCAGCGTTTCCCAGCCCCGCTCCACAGAGGGCACCGCGGGCCGGCCGGGCCGGGTCCCAGCTGCCGGCCGGCTCACCTGCCGGACGGTGCCGCAGTGGCCGTAGGGGATGCTGAAGACCAGGAAGCGCCCCGCCACCCGGGGGCGGCACAGCTCGTCCTTCAGGTGGACGTCCCAGGAGGAGTAGCCCAGCCGCCGGAGGTAGCCGCGGTCCACCGTGACCCGGAAGAGGTGCGGCAAGCAGGACAGCTGGGCTGGGGGGCAGGGGAGCTCACACAGGGAACCCGGTCCCCGGGCGCGAGCCAGGGCTGTGGGCACAGTACCCACGGGGCCCTGGGCTGGCTCAGCTCTCATCCCCCACTTTGGACTTGACTGTCACGGTCTTTATCTGTCTCCCCCTTTCCCAAGCCACACCGTGGGGACCCAGCCCGCAGCAGGCCCCGTGGGCGGGGCAGCACACGGGAGCCTGAGGTGCCCCTGTGGGCTGGAGAGAGCGCCCCGAGGGTGGGCCGGTGCCAAGGGCTTCCTCCCGGCCCCCGATGCCAGGGAGTGGAGGGACAGCGTGGCCTTGGTGAGAGCC